CGCGAATCACCTTCGGCACTTGGGGCGGGAGCCGTTGCCCCCTACCGGAACTTCACTGTCAACGGATCAGAGATGATTATGTTTTGCGTATTTGTTTGTTATTTGCTCGTTCGCTCGCTCGCTCGCTCAAATTTCGGCGGGTTTTTGTATTTATTTAGTGATATTGTTGTAAACAAACAGAGTTAGTTCAAAATTTATGGCCATCCCATGAGACTGTTACACTTTGCTCGAGTAGAAATGGGTTTTCCTGTTGTGTGTCGATCGGCGGTTACTTTGTAATGCAAAATCTGGTTGACCTTAGCGAGAAGACACCATCAACGGGCGATAATACCATAAATATGGCTTATTTACATTTAAATGTTTATATTTCGGGCATTTTTAATTCGATGTGCCAAAGTAGCGTGTCCGGTTCGTTCGGCCATAATCGTTTTTTGCGCAGTGTATTTATCATAACTACAAACAATTCAATTCGATCACCAGGTGATTAAATAAGCTACATACTTGTACAACGTCATTTAACATTAAATGCATGCAATTAAGTGTCAAAACGCTGCTAAACTGTAAATATAGCGTTTAAAGTGCACATGCAACGTTGGGATTGTTCCGAAGGAATCGAGATACTCGTAAAGTGGCACAGAATGTGCTCGGAAATTACGCGACTCGCTCAAGTTCAGGGTCAATGATGCAATACTATATACTTGTACTTGTATGTGTGTACATATAAGTGCAAATAAAATAGCATGTGCATGACTACACACAAGCACACACCTCTGCACACCTTTGCATACATCGATGTATTGCATCTATGAGATACGTGGCGCATGGACTTGGCAAATGCAAATCGCGAAGGTGGCAGACAGGTATTAAAGCAAAAGTAAACACAGGCGCCAAATGTATGTAAATGCTAACTGTAGCAAAACGCGAACAAGCACCAGCTGGCCATTCGAATCGCAAAGTTATTTCACATCTACGAGTATGAGTTCGAATACTACTTGTATAAGGAGAAAACATGCCCGCGATGATCGATTACAATCGTGCTTACTTTTCGGTGAAATGCAACGTGCCAGTATTAGCCTACATTTAAGACGACTCTAGACTCCAGTGGCTTCGCATCGCTTGACTCCGCTAAACTAAACTTGGCTTTGGATGGAATCTGCAACAGCGGCGGCTCGGTTTCAAATCGTTTTATCATGCAAAATGCATCGGCACCCACGAATTGCCTTTTGGCCAACATTTTGAGTGGCTCGGTGTGGCCAAATGGCCAACTCGACCGTCGACTGTCCGTCTGTCCCACTGCTTGCCGCTTGAACTTGATCTTGGCAAGGTTTCAGCGGGCGTTTCAAGTAGCAAAACCAACTACCAAGTAGTCAACATGAATTATTATCATACTTTCTATTGCGTTCCATGACAAATAGAAGTTTCCAAAGATTTTCGATAACTTTATTTTTTTGGAAAAAGTAAAGTGCGTGGAATACTATAAAGCTTTCTTCGCCTAAGTCTTAAAATAGGGTATTGTTCACATGGAGTGAGCCTTGAATTTAAATCATTATGTTTGCCTCTCCTTCAATATTTTTGTAATCCTGTTTTTTACTTTTATATTGAAAACTTCTAGATTCTGATCTTCAGAAATTCAATTTAATTCGTTTTATGTGTGTTAAATGCTTTTAAATCCATTGTATGTACTTGTAGTAATAATTTTTTAAAATTGCGCAAAAGATTCAAGCGGTCGTAAATCATTTTGTTTTGTCTGAAATTTTCAAATACAGTTCAGAAGTTTTAATGGGAAAATTCAGATTTTATTGGCTTTTAGTCTCAAAACAGCTCCTTCTGTAATAAAGTTGTTTGAATAATTTGAATGAAACCGAATTAATAATCTACATATTTCTTATGTCATTATTTTTCTCGGAAGATTAATATGCCTAATTGAATTTTGGGAAAATCATGCATTGTGCTCAATTACTTGTTAAATGTTTTACATAACGAGGAAGTCAACTAAATCTGAAAATAATTAAGAATACGCGGTGCAAGTTGAAACCCACAACTAATCGCGTACCTTCTTAGTAACGTACTATGTTAAACAATTTGCTTACATTGTTTATACTTGTACTATTATGTGTATTATAATACATTTATACAACCAGCAAAGGTGTAATATTGAAGCAAACCACAATGAAATTTTGCATGTTATCTCTTAAGCTTATTTTGAATGCAAATTACTTGTAGAGATAGGAATGGGAATAGTAATAGAAATAAAGACAGACATGCATATCGAATCTCAGTCTCCCACTTGGGACCGAACTGCTATTTTTAACTGTTTGCTCCAGTTCCAGTATACTTCTCCTAATTTGCTGTACGCTATGTGGGCAGAAAGTCAACTCAACAGGCAGAAAACAAAGCCCACTCGTAATTCGGACCAGCAGCAAAGGCAAAGAATTGTACGAGTATCTGTATTTGCACACAATGTACGAGAATATTGCCCAATTGAGGCATTCACATTCACCAGGGTGTTCAATCAAGCCATCAAACGGTTAATTCGCCGCCTCGACTGCTCGGTCACACTTACCTGTCAGAAACAATCGAATTGACAATTAATGCCGCACAAAGCCAACGAAAGCAACTTAATTTGGTTTATTTGAAGGCAATTTGCTTAAGCGCCGTTTCGGTTATTTTTCTTTTTTTTAATACTTCTTGTCTTCAATGCAGACACACACACACACATATACGAGTATATACTTATATGGACACAAACACACACATTCACACATACAAGTAAACTGTTACAGGCAGCAATCGCAGGCTCTTGGCGGAAAATGTAAGCAGCAAACCAGAGAAAAATGAGTGTGAAAAGTTGAAGCCGCACACGCGTTCACAGTCGCGACAGACATTAGACTGACTGGGAGCTGAGCCGCGAGTTTGAGGCCCCAACGCAGCGTTGAACCGGCAATACATTTATACATACATGCAAACAAAAATCCATACATACATATATGTATGTATGTAGATACAGCAGCAGCAACAGCAGCAACAACGGCAAGAGCAAGAGTTACAGGCGGACTTTAAACGGCTTCGGCTTTCTGCTGAGCACACAAAATACTAAAAATAACAAGAACAGAAGCCGGCGCGGAATTGGCAAAATTTTTAAGTTGCGCGCCAAAAATATACAAACAAAAGAAACTGCAGGCCTTCTTAGCCCTAATGGGACTTACCGCATCCGCGCAAAGACCGAGCAGAGAGCAGTTCCAGCAAACATTAATTGCTTCCAACTGCAGCTGCCTTGAATCGCCCCGCGTCACTGAGAATGCATGCGAGTGGGTGTGTGTGTGTCTGTGTGTGTGTGTGTGTTTCTTCAACTGTCAAAACTGCATTGAATTATTTGAAAACAACAATACTCGAACATAACAATTAACAGTCAAAGTCAAAACTGAAGGAGCTGTGCGAAATGCGTGTGGGTGCCGCCAGTGCCACAAATTGTAGAAATGTGCGTCTCAATGCACTTGCAACGGCAAAAACTTGAACCTGGCATTCGCATTTAGACAGCACAAATCGAGGCGCAGGCACCCCGACATATGAAGTGTCAGCACTCCAATCTAATTCATGGCAAAAAAATATCGGTGTGATAAGCAAAAAAAAAAAAAAAAAAAAAACACAAGAGTATATAAAAAAGCAACTAACAGCCGCACGAGTCAATTCACACTGCTATATATGTACATATGTATGTATGTATGTACATACAAACATATATAAACGTACAATTGTGTCTGTTCTCATGTTGTATGTTTGTGTCGCTGTTTGATGCGTTTTAAATTGAAGTCAATAAATTTGAATAATTTGCATTTTATGCAAGCAACCAAAAAATGCAATACATTATCAAAGTAATGTCAATTTAATTATTAATATTGTTCAGTCTGTTTTCTTATGCTTGCAGTATACATATATGCAATATATAAATACTTATACATATGTGTATGGCAAACAAGTTTATTTTTATTAAATTGATTGAAGCAATAAAATCGCTTGACAGCTGACAAACCATTTGACACAGTCTACCCTTCTTATTTATTAATAAATTTGCCTTTGGTTTTTTATGCATTTCGTCTTATTTATACATACATACATATAATTAACTAAAATTTCTTAAAGCATTCAGTCGAATGAGCTGACCTACCAACTATGTATGTATACATATATATGTGTACTCGTATATGTACATGTAAGAGTGCTATTTAATTAGTATTCATACATATGTAGTTTAAAGTTCGCATTGCTGTCCTTGACACATATTGAAAGACGCTGAATCGTTGTATGTGTATTCCCTTCTTTATTGTCAAATGAATTTTTGAAATGGGATTATATGTATGTATGTATCTATATTGAATTCAACATTCTCTTCTTAATCTCATTAGCAAAAAAAGGCAATTCAAAAATCCTTCGCATGCTTGGTTTCCTATATCTAGTTGGACTCACATCCACCATTCACTCTGCAGGTACGTAGCAAAAAGAATACAAAGGCCTTTTCTATCCTATCGCTCTAACAAATCATGCACCCATCGGTGTCGCTTCTGAAAGCACATTTTACCTAACAGCTTAAACTGCGCGCCCCAATCAATTAACATTTTACGAAGCAGGAATTTATGCTGATGTTAAATAAAATATACCCTCAAAAATTAAGATAATCAGTGTCCAACGACAACCAGATTCGTAGGAGTTCTAAAGATTATTTTCGTTGAACATGAAATGGAAAATATCTTTTTTGCAAACGTTTTCCTAGCCAATAGCAATATTATATAATTTTATATACAGTTGAATTGTGGGCTATTCTTTATCATAAGCCATATCACAATGCCAAAGAATATAAACAGTAACAGATAAAACGCTACAAATGAATTTAAAAATGATTGTAATAGATAATAGTTTGAGTTCAATCAACTTATGAAGGATCGACTTTTTTCAGGAAAAAATAAAAGAATAGATGTTTGTATTCGTTAAACTATACTATCAAATGAACTTACAAAAAATGTTTATATTTCTTAAACAAATGTTGTATTGAGAGCATATGTATAACAGATAATTTAAATTATAATAGCATTGCCACTCCGATGATATTGCCATACGCATAGAATTTTAATAGGCACGAACGCTGCCATACATAGGAAAGAGAAACTGATGCTGGCGCTGCCACCTCTGCTTTTTTGCGTTCAGATTTTGAAATGCTCCAACCGTTTGGGTTCTTCCTCTTATACAGGTACAGTGGGAACAAATATATCAATAAATTTCTACATTACTTAGTTTTCACATTGAATGTGCCATACGAAAAAATTTACATAAATTAAATACAAATTACATATATCTTTCCCCATCCCAGCACATCAATGGATATTGGGTTGTCAAAATACAAAGGCAAATTTCTTGTGCATTAATCAATCACCTCCATATCCGAATAGTCCCAGGAGTGCGGATCAATCTCAAAACGCTTGAGCCGCTCATAAAGTTGTCCGAAGAAAAAGCCTTCCAACTCGTATGTCTTATAAGCACGAAAGAATCCTTCGTGTACGTTTTTGTTATTCCAAACCCAAATGCAGTGATTGGGAAAGTACTCAATATAATAAACTCTGCCCCTGGTATCCCAATCGCATGGCGCATGTAATGTGTGGAAGTCGAATGGCATTGTCGGCTCGGTTTCACGCTTACTCCGTGCAATATGCTTTAGCGATTTGACAGCAGGCTTGCGCGATTTGGGGTTTGGTGAGTTCGACTGTGGAGCGTCGCTAATGAGTACAGAAGTAGAATTGGTCTTGATGGCGGACTCAATCTGCGATCCGTTGGTGCCATTTTTAGGTCTTACGACATCCATTCCCTCCAAACCGGTATGCATGGCATCGTCGCATTGCAATTGAGACTGTTGTACATGATATTGGTTAGAATCAATAGCATACTATAAACATATATGTATATGTACATACCATCGCAAATACGATCGCTAAAGCTGTTAACATAGAATTTGGTAGCAAATACATGCTTGTACTAAAAATTTAATGAGGCAGCGGACCTACTTGTAGATGTGCGCTTCAATCAACCGAAAATAAACAATGGAATTTAACTGACATTTGAGCCGAAAGTAAAACCAAGACTTGCTTTATGGATGTATGGTTATTATTTTTATTATGTAGTACATACATAAATTTGGATACACTTGCAAAGCAACCCACATACATACACATGTATGTATGTAAGTACACACAAATGTTAATTTTAGATAGCACATTTATAAAACTGCTATTAAATGCAAACAGAGTTGTTAGCTGGGTCCTGGTTACGTTTAATATGCGAAGCTGCCCAAGCGTGCATTGCAGTTGGGGCAGTACTGGGTAGTGCGGTAGCAGCAGCTGCAACAGCAGGGCAGGCACACGCAAGGCCAGCAGCTGCAGAAATAAAATTCATTTGTAAGCGTTATCCGTTATTGAAGAATATCAAAATAAAAACCTACAGAAAGAGGCACAGAAGTGCAGCGGTACAATAGGTTTTGCCTGTTGCGTGATGCTCCACACGGACCTTTACGCGAGCATTGCAAGCAGGGCACTGCATGCCATTACCTGCGGCCCGGTCGACTACAGTGTTGTGAATCACGAGCACGCCCGGCTGTTGTTGTTGTGGCATAACATGCGGTGGCGGAGCAGTTGGTTCCAAGTGCGATCCGGGCTGAAGTTCCGCACTGTACGGCGGAGGCGAGAGTGGCAACTTCATATCCATTTAGCTTATCTCCGACTGCAGGAATGCCTCACGATCCAAAACGTTTTCAGATTAAATGCGACGTAAGCTCTTCCAGAAATAATATGCGGATGCCTATAAAAACTGTATATACTTATGTATGTATGTATGAATATGTATGTATAAGCACATGTGCGCGGCGATACTTTTATGCGTCAAAAAGACATACAAATTCGACTACAGAAACACGAATTCGAGGAAACCCCAATTTTCTCTTTTCTTTATAGATCTGCAAATTTTTTAAATTTGTTTTTGCACTTTTCCAATATAGAGACATGTATGTATATCTATGTATGTGCACTCAGATTTAATCTCAGCAGGACAAAACGTAGCTTACTTGCGAATTTCTTACTAGTTGCTAGTGCGATCGCTTGCTTTAAAGTACTGAGGCATGTTGGTGCGAGGCCGATAGCATGAACACCCATTACTCCGTTATGGGTAGTGTTGCCAGCTTATCTCGCTATTTTGTCGCCAGTTGTGCAAATTTTAAATGTCTATTGCGGGCAAATGTTTTTAAGAGTTCAAGTGCAAAAGAGCAAGTAAAAATTCTGCTAGCACGAAAAAGTCCATATATACATATATGTATGTACATATGTAAGTCTACAAAATGTTTGGCATAAAAATTAGGTCAATTGGTTATTTTATAGATGCCATCTGAAATAAAAGTATTTTAACATTAATTTCATTGCGTGAATTGGAGTTAGGTAATCAAATGCGTTTTATTAATTTAATTTTTGATGATTACAATAAATACACAAAAAAAATGGCTTCATGTCTGCCCAAAAAATATTTTTTAATCTATGTGGGCAACGCATTTAACAAATCATAGAGAAATGAGCATGACTGGTCATCATTTATGTATAATGATCTTTCTGACTAAAATGCTGTGATACGAAGGGGATTGCCCAGTTCCGTTACTCAGTGTTCTTTTTGTGTGACGTCCCAAATTACTCCGTGGCGTTGCCATAATGTGCACAATGTTACTTTTAGTGTTACCACATGTAATTTAACGCGCAAAGGCAGCTTTTTTCAAATTTCGAACATTGTTGACAAACCGTTTCAGAATATACATACATATATTTAGATAGAAAAGTGCTGTGCTCATTCCTGAAAACATTGATGTTATGTATATTGAAAATGAAAAACTTATAAGAATGTAACTCTCAATACTTCCAGCAGCCAATTGATTGATCAGTAATTTCATAATATTTTTTATATAAAAATATTATATTTCTGTATATGTATTGGGATATTTTTCGATTTGAAGACCAATCTTTGATTCACGGAAAAATTTTTAATTGCAAAAAATAAATGAATAAAAAGTTTACATGTTTTTGTCAAATTGTTTCAATTTTATATTACGTTGTTGTGTCGCTCTTATTTTTAAAGATTTATAATGTCATCAAATTTAAATTCATAGATATTATAATTACTTTTATTATTATTAATTTTTGTGGTTTTAGATACGTTTGAAATCAAGTGGAAAACCACCACCAGACTAGTTCTCGTATGTGCCAATGTATGAACTGCAGTTGGGACAGTAATGATTGGCGTTTTGGCAGGAATCCATGCAGTAGGGAAGACATACGCAGGGCCAACAGCTGTAAAATGAGAACCCGAAAAATAATTAGTTTTGACATTTGTATGTATGTATGTATACCATATCTAACATTGTAGAATAATAAACTTATGATTCAGTAAAGTGCAATCAGACATTTGTCACAAGCACGCTAAGCTATTTCTTGGTGCGGGGCGATGTTATCTTTTCACTGTAACCACTGTTTTCGTTTTCGAATACATACTTTTCCCAAAAGATTCCGACCAGCCGACTGCTCATTATTCGCTCTAAGCGGAATAAACTGAACTGCTCGGAATAATATCTGTGTAAAGGCATCGTCAACGCTTATCTAACTCAACTTCTGTTGAGATAACAGCGCTTTCAAGTACTGGCCATACATTCAGGCGTATGTATGTACATACATACAGGCGTATGTATGTACATACATACATATGTATAGTATATCGGTATAGTATAAGAGTATGTATGTATACTTGCTGTAAACATTTACCAGCTCCAGTAATAATTCTCTATATGCATACATATGTACATATATAAGAATATATTGCTTCATATTCGTTCTATGTATGTACATATGTATATATTGTAGCAGGCTCTTATATACGCATATAATATACATATGTATGTACACATATACATGTACATATGTACAATGTATATACAAGACAGGTGGGAATGTGGAGTGCGTTTCAATAAAATGAATAAATAAACTCTGCTTCTAAAAGTATGAACAGTAGCCATAGGTTTCCGCCAACTTTATCTTTTGTTGGCTGATTTTTGCGCTTTGCGGATGCAGGCTGCGGGGCCAGTTACGAACACTTGTCTGAATCATGCCGAATGTACATACGTACATATGTATATATATATGTATGTATATAGGTATGTCTGTTTACAGTGTGTATATAACTTACATGAAAAGGCACAAGATCAATGCCCAGCAGTGAGTGCGTCCCGAAGGAGTGCTCTTAACCGTGGTGACAACTTCGGCGTGGCAAGAGGGACATCGAATGCGCGTCGGACCACTTCCAATGGGCACCAGGTTGGAGGTCGTCGTTGTCTGTATGATGACGGTGGACTGCTGAGGTGGCTGTGGCATGGGCGGGTACAGCGGGGGCTGCGTTGGTCCCTGTGGCTGAAATGTCTGCGCAGGCGTATAGCCTGGCTGGAATTGTTCGCTGTACGGAGGTGGCTGCTTGTTGTCCATGTTAGTACAGTTTAAAGTTTATTTGTTCTTATTATTTTCGATGGAGTGACTGCGTTGTACCCAACCGCACTGTTCGGGATCTCTCGTTATACTAAAGTACGCTAACGAGCTGTGCTCTGATATTTGCGTGAGTTGCTGGTGCGGTAGCTCGAGTGCGGGTGCGGCCAATCGGTGGAATTGCTAATCTTATCAGTCTTTTATTATTGCCACGATTAGCAGGTAGTGTGTAGCAATGCAACCAACGGGACTTTTTGGCAATATTTATAGCCCAGCCTATCTGTTCTACGAATGTCTGAACAGCCATACGTATGTACATCACCAATAGGTATAAATATTTATATTTTATTGGGCGTTTGTTTTATATAAAATATCTAAGGGTTTCAGCGAACGGACTTGCAAAGTATTAGTGAACCACATTTTACGATATACCCTTACAAATAGACAGAAATAGGGATTAAATACTCATTACCCATACGCACGATTGTAGTTCTCTAATTAATGCACTGAATGTCGATTTTTAGCTTGTTTGAGGTTTCTTTGTTATTTTGCTCTGTTCTTATTTATAATATTTATTGTTTGATTTATTATTTGCATTTGAATTTTATTCTTTATTTGTTTAATAATAGTCTCGCGACCTCAGTTCGGTGAGCCTCTGCTCATAATTCCTATTATTGTTGACTTGTATTCTAGGCGTTAAGTTTTCAAATGTTTCATTTAGCGTATATGTATGTACGTATGTGACTACGCAATGTGACTTAATAGGTAATAAATAAGTACATATAAGTACTAGTATGTAGGATGAACCAGTCTATTTAGCTGTATAAATGAGTCACGCGTTGTTCGGGTTATCAGCTGCGACGATTTTGATGAATAAGCACTGGCATTGACGTAGGCGGCTTTAGTTCGTGGGGATGCTTCCCATGGGCAGTTCTGATAGCGATTACAAGCATTTACTAATTTGAATGTTTGTTCTATTATATATGAAAACTCTCTGCACATGACAACTCCCTGGCCATAACCTGTATTTAGCGGCTGAAACCCCACTCTGGAATTATATTTATACCCTGTACCCAAAGAGTGAAGGGGTACACTAGTTTTGTGCGAATGTATGTAACAGTCAGAAGGAGGCGTGGCAGACCCCACAAAGCATATATATTCTTGATCAGGATGACAAGGCCAGTTGCTATAGTCATGTCCGTCCGTCCGTTTGTCCATCCGTCTGTATGAACGCAAGGATCTCAGAAAGTATAAGAGCTAGAAGAACCAAACTTGGTATTCAGATTCTCCTAATACCGAGAAGCCCCGTATTTATTTCCATAACTTCCGTAATTTTTGGAATTTTGTACTAAAATTTGTCAGATACCTCCAGTTAGTGATTATGAGTCCGTATCATCATAAAAGGTCAATTCTGAAGAAATTTGTAGCAATGAATAAAATCGCCGCCTATGCTCTGCTTGCAGCTCTGCCCGCAACGCTACCCGCAGTTGTTGTTGTTGCTGCTTTGGTTCAACTTTGTGCTGCATACATACACGCATATAAACACGCAGGGACACGATTCTGATGTAAATTTGTTCTATTGAAATTGTACATAAAGGCGTATGTATGTATGCATGCGTTGAATATTTTATATTTAATTTAATTAATTAATAAAATTAATAATTTTTTAAATATTTGTTTTTTTTTTAATTTTCCTTTTTAGTGGAAAGTACAGGGTATTTTACTGTCGGGCTTGCTCGATTGTAGCGTTCTGTCCTGTTTTTGTCTATATTTTACAATGCAAACTGATTCATTATGCATTAGTTAAAGAAGAACTGGTACGAAAAAAACTGAAAACTATTAAGTCGAGAGCGGGCTGAATTCAAGTCTAATTGGCCTAGATATATCCGTTCTATTTTTACAGCTGTTTTCATGAATTGTCAAGATTGTGATGAACAGGTCCCATTTGAATTCTCACTACAAAATGAGTATGGAAGCCCTCGCTGATAAGAAAAGTGCATGCTCTGTCATTCAATTAGCTTTGCCTGCCACTTGTTCATGCCGCCAATCAAAAGCTTCCGAGGCAGCTTTCGCTTTCAAGTGGGACCGTTAAACTTGATGTTAGCAGTGGAGCCATGAAAATATTGTAGGCAAATAAAAGTAGACAAAGCCATAATACATACGTATGTATGTACAACAACAAAACAGAGAACAACTGGTTTTCAAATACCGAACCACTTGACAAGCACTTTGCCATTGTTTTTAATAAATTGTAAGCATAAATAACCCACATTTTTGGATAAATAAGAAACATTACGGCACTTGCCCGTCCGCAGTCAATAGGCAACGCTTTAGACATGAGTCGAAAATTGACATTCAGCAGCAATGAAACAATTGACTGCTTCTCCGACATGGTCGAAATCAACTTGAATGGAAGCTGTGGGTTGACGACGAACCCGCAACCGTCGGTCCCTATTATGGATGGTCTGCTAAAGCCTCCACCAGCGTTGCATCGTGGCTATCCATATGGCTATAGCGACGTTGAGGATGCCACACAGACCAATTCAGATTTATACTTTTGCAAGAAATCGAATTCCACCGGCCAACTGGCTGAGAAGGTGGCCGGCAAGCAATCCCAGCCTGCCACAAACATCAGCTGCCTTCGTCAAATGTACTGTCCCGAGTGCCACGAACGGCTTCACGAGCAGGGCGTTCGACTGGAACGCCTGCTGGCGCTTTGGTAAGTGAACAAAAGTTGTTCAATTAATTATCAATAAAATTGTTGTAATCAGCAGACTAATGATAATAAATATTATTGCTTGGCAATTGCAGCTGCTTCTCCCTACTGCCCATTTACCCTTGCTGCGTGAAGCGCAACAGCGACGACTGCAAAGTAATTTGCGGCAAGTGCGGCTACTTGCTGGGTGCCTGGAAACGGCAATGAACTTATTTTGTTTGGTTTATTTTATAATTTGTTTATGTTATTGGCTTAGTTTTAAGCATCGTTAACCTTGAACATGTTGAAGACGATCGTTTATTTTTATGGAAGATCAATGGCATACAGAATAGTCGAAATAGTCGAAATAGTCAAAGAGAGACACATTAGACTTTCTCTTTAAACACCTATGGGTGTGCTCTTAATCCAAACTCGTTTGCCAAAATGTTTGCCAAAATCTGTCACTGTTTTAGTCGGCAGATAAAGGCGCAGCCGGCAACAGAACAAATTTTTCGGACCGACAATGTCAAGTGATGCACAGCTAATGGAGGTGCAGTTGAATGCGTCCAAGGCGGGAGCTGAGTTGGCGAGCGGAGACTTCGAATACGACAATGACTCGGCCACCACGGCCACGTTGGAGGAGCGTTTGGCCAGTGAGAAGCCACAATTGCGTTTCTTCAGCGTCGGCCCCTCCACCTACCGAGTTAACTGTCCGCTCTGCCGAAGTGTTGCCCGCACGGAAACGGTCCAGATGGCCGGTGCCTTGGGTCAGCTCAGTTGTCTGCTATCTGTACTATCCTGGTGAGTAGTGGAGGTGCCAAGAGGTCGCTAATGAGACTTATAGGTTCATCTCCGTTTCAGTTGCTTTCCCATTTTTGCGCTGACCTGCGTCTACAGTCTCCTGCAGAGTCGGCTGAAGAGCAAGCGGGTCTTCTGTAGCTCCTGCGGTGGACACTTGGGCTATCACTGGCGCCCGAGCTAGCCATATGGACAGAGCTTGGGAGGCCAGAAGTGGAAACAGTGCCTCTTAGTGAATTTTAGTTTCAGCAACAATAATTTATTGAAATTCAGCAAGTGCTCTAAAAATAAATGAAACGATTTGCAAAGAAACCGTCGCCGCCCACGGCAGCTGCTGTTAGATTTTCAATAATTTTCTATCCATCTGGTTGTGGCTGTTTTAGCTGCTATTTTGTGTTACTCTGTAGATGCTGATTCCAAAATACAAGTATATAGCTACTTGAGCGTATTTTTGCACACCCAGGCAAGCGACGACAAATTCTCGACATTCGTGCACATTTTTCTTTCCGTGCTGTCCATTTCAGTCGCTCTCGGCTTGTCGCATTGGCCGAGTCCCAGGTGCTCAAAAAAAGAAAATTATGGCCAGCACCGAAAGCCTGGACGGCAGCGCCTGCGAAGATGGCGTCGAGGTCTCGGCCGTGCCACAGAATGTGGGCCATCTGGGCGAGGTACCCATTCAGTTCGTCTGCCCCGCCTGTCATCAGCTGAATGAGAGTCGTGTGGAAAGTGAGGCGGTAACAATACTACAGAAAATTGTCTGCTCTCTGAACGTTCTATTTTGCTGGTAAGTGTCCGATTAGTGCTCCATTGCAGTCCTCCATATCTGTCATTACAGCAATCCCATACGTTGGAATGGCCGCCACGATATCAATCATTATTGCAGCAAGTGTGGCTGCTTTATTGGTCGCCACATATCGCTCAGTTGGTACAAGCGATCGCTTTTCCGCATGCAGCGCTCCGAGGTGGAGGACAACGGACGCTGGCTGTGCTTCCGGAAGGTAGAGAAGGAGCAGCTGGATGCCAAGAAACTGAGCAAACAGCGACAGGCGCTGGAGAAGGCTTAAATAGATATTTGCGTGCTCCAAAATGAAAAGTTTCACCATCAACGCCAAATAAATAAACAATGGGGAAAACATTCTTCAGTTTTTGGTTTTGTTTTTGTTTGTGTTCTGTTTTGTGGACATGAGGCATGCGTCCAGTCTATGATGTCATCGCCGCGCGTCTTCCAAATGTAGCCTAAAAATACACACACACACACACACACAATATCTCGACAAAACATAGTACTATTGACGAGTACCTACGCCCGAGTGGACCGCTCGCTCTTATTTTCAGTTCAGTTTCATTTCATGCTCTTAGCGCACGTTCTTTTGTTGTTGTTGTTGTTATTGTTTGATGTGCTGCGAAGCGTTAAGCGGCGCCAACAAGCAGCGGCAAGTGTGTGGCGCGCAGTTACAATGGAGACGCACAGCCAAACACAGACGCTTCAGATAAAACTACTGCCGGCCAAAACGGCCGAGGAACGGGCGCGCAATATCATAGCCAATGTGGTGGTGGAGGGCCAGCAGGCGGCGCTGGTACCCTATATTGATGAGCAATTCAATGGGATCGAGAAAATCACATTGCTGACCTCGACGTCATCAGCCGTGGCGCCACCGCCCAAGGAACAGCCACGTCTACGCTACTATGCCGTTGGCCCTTCCACCTACAAGGTGCTCTGTCCTCTCTGCAAGAAGCAGAGCAATGCAGCAGTGATGCGTGCCGCAGGCTGCAAGGACGCCAGCTGCTGTCTTAGTTTGCTGTCCTGGTGAGTTGGTTGCCGACCTCCACACCCCATAGACTAGTCTCATTTTTCATCGGCATTCTTTGTTTCCTTAGCATTTTTCCGCTCTTCTGGATCTGCTGTATTTGTACGTGGTGCGGCTGTAATCGTGAGTGGACCACAAAGGGCGTCTATTGCAGTCGCTGTGGCGGCAAGCTGGGCATGCAGCGCAAGGCCAAATAATTGGGCGTGCATTCCAATCACCGAAATGAAAATTAAATGAAGCCAAACATATTTGTTAAAATTCTATTACGTATTCTATTGCTTCTGCCTAACTCAATTAAATACGCACATTAACGCCTGACCCCCAATACCTACGTCTCCATATCGTCTCTCACTCTCTACATTTCTGGTCCAACACTTCTCAAACTCTTCTGGCGTGCTCTTCTGAACAGTTTTGAAAATGATGTTTCCGAACTCGCGCGCTCTCTCTCATAGATATGACGAACAGGTTGCCCCACTCTATGGGATACACATCATATTCAGTATGTGAACACGTCTCGAAAATCGCGGTGGCGGGCAGTTCAGTTCAGCAGCAAAGCATTATTACGCCCGATTTATATTGCCATGACTACGACACTGAGCGAGCTGGAGCAGGCAGCTCAGGCAGCAGCCGCTAAGGCATTGGCCGATAAAAAGGAGCGTGAAATATACAATAATTTTGCCACACCCCTGGCTGGCACGTTCCTCAACTTGCCACACGAATCGGTGGAGTTAAAGTGCCCAGCATGTGGCGTACGGGATCAATCGGTGGTCCAGAACGATCTCAAATGGTGGGCCACCGAAATCAATCGCATCGTGGGCTGTTTATTTGTGTAAGTAATGCATAAGCATATCACAGCATTTCAATAGAATTTTCATTAAGAAAATTTCAATTTAAATCGAAACTGAATAAATAATTTCCTTATTATGTTAAGTACCCAAGAGGCTATTTGATTGCAACGCTCTTGATGTTGAATTATTAAAATATACAAGTAAACATGTTGGGTCAACTTTCTTTTATGTTAATTTTTGACAAATTGATTTACATTTTTCAGCACCTTTTGCTGCTGCTGCTGTTTCAACTACTATGTCCCCTGCAAACAAACGGATCGAAGCCATTATTGTGGCAACTGTGGCTGCTACTTTGGGCGGGCCATGAAACGTCCACCACTTAAGCTGAAGGCGAACAAATAAGTGGAGAACGACCAGTCAGTCATACTTGTATAAACATACATACTCGTACATATGTATACTTGTATGTATTTTTATTTTGAAATACTTTTGTATATAATTCTTAGGAGCTTCCCACCCACTGCAATAAACCAAAGCTAAATACCAGGGCGCTTGCTCGCAGCCATCGAAAATGTGTTCACTCTCTCTCGCTCTCCATCTCCATCTCCGTCTCTCTCCAGCAGCAGTGGTGGCCCGCAATATTTCTGCTCAGTCTTTGCTCGGATGCGGCCACAGCAACACATTCGAAGCGCGTCGCTTTCTGCTCTCATTTGAACTATCCACTCCACCTGACCCCACCCCCTGGTGGTCATTACTATATAGTCGTCGTCATCAGCAACATGGCTCAGGATCCCAGCCCCATTCGGCCACCGCCCGTTTACTTTGCCGTCGGACCCAAGTCCCATGAGATCACTTGCCCCTACTGCAAGGTTGTGGGAAAGACCCGCCTGGTTCGCTCCCTCCTGCGCTGCTGTACAAAGCGTCATCATTGCAGTTCCTGTGGCGAGTATTTGGGCACCTATCGTCGACCTCAGCTCTGACAATTTCACGCCTACGATTTCGTTCATGTATACATATACTCATATATAGTATTGAATAAGCAATAAAGCGTTTGTTTATGTGTAATAATGATGCGAGTTTATTAAGTAGGGCATGAAGCTGGGCCAATTAGTTACGAATGACATCAACTCCGGGGTCGTTTAGATCGTCTGCCCATTGCCCGCTCGAATCGAATTAATGCCCACATACTTACTTCAGAATTCCATGAAATTTAAGAGCACAACTTTTCCAACTAAAGAGCGCACACAAATCTCGCTCTCATTGTGATCTCCAAAACAACGTGAAGATCTAGTTTTCGGTTGGGCGAGGTGTTTAGTATTTGTGTGGTCAGCATTGTGCGAGCACTTCGAACGGCAACAATTATACATATTCAGATCAGTATGGCCGTAGATGAACCCCAAGTTGTGGCCATCAAAATCAAAACAGAGCCCATCGTCAAGCCCATCCAGTTGGTTGACATTGGATTCCTGCAGCGAGAGTCCACCTATGTGAATTGTCCTGCCTGTGAGCGCGCAGGATCGAGTGTTGTTCAACTGGAGGCTGTCACTTGTCTACAAAGACTGCTGGGCCTTACAAAGCTCTTGTGAGTAGTGAGCATATCACACAATCGACTTTACTTTATAAAGAGCACACTTTTATTTTCATCTAATTGGAGTTATCGGTATTAGTTTTTTTTAAACAAATTTTCATTTATTTTTGTTGATGTATGAAAAACTAAACTTCTATACTCGTACATCGTTATAATGCTCGCTATGCATTGAGCTATGGGATTCCCCATAACCAAATCCTATTTTTTGTAAATCTGGCTAGCGGCTAAGATTCTTGGATTCAACTACATTATATTTTTCAAAATTTGGGAATTGATTAATGGTCGAGATAATAGGTAGATATTTGACATTTTATCACATATTACTAATCTTTCAATTCTGAATTCTGCATCGCTGTTAGTGGCAACGAAATTAATTCTATATATCCTATGTTTTTTTTTGTTGGAGATTCAAAAGTTTAATCTTGGTCGAGTTAGAAAAGTATGTTCAAATAATTTCGCTAAGAGATCATAAGTATAGTAAAGCTGTTACTAATGTTGTCATTTAAAACGAGGACTATTTACTGATTGTGTGTTCCATTTTTCTGCAATTCAGCAAGACTTGGCGTGGACGTACTGACATAAATCACTACTGCAGCAACTGTGGCTGCTATATAGGCCGATTTGTGCCTGTGGGCTGCAGCGAGCGATGCATTTCGCGTTCTGCCAAACGCATGGCCGCCGTGGATGACATGACGCTGAAGACGAAGCCGAGGGATTGTGCGCAAACCGTGCAGAAGTCCCGCGAACGCGTGTTGGCCAAACGTGCGCAGGAGCGGGCCGAGAAGCAGGCTAAGAGGGAACAACAACAAACTACAGTCGTGACTGTCGAACTGGCGCCCCAAGCAAAAGCTTAGCGAGCTTAACGTTGGTGCATGCCACGACTAAAAGAAATCTGCCACAAATAAGCTTTTCACCACCAAGCTTTGGCAATAATCAGCTAGAGCCGGGTATACATATATTAACAATAAATTTCATACACTACTAGTTACTGCTTATAGTAAGAGAGAGAGACAAACTCTATTGGTTCTTCTTGGGCCGGTTTTTGCAATCGCCATTGCATGGAGTATCGCAGGGCACGAACTCTCGATTCGGCTTGATGCAGTTGTTCTCCCGATCGTACAGACCCAAAAAGGTCTTGCAGTTGGCACAGTGCAAGTACTCCTTGTTCTCGGGCGAAATGAGGCAGGGTAGAAAGCAGAAGGGCCAGCAACTGGCTACACAAGAGGCACAGCAGCTGCTGCTCGAGTACACCTCCGTGTTGGTCTTGATCATGGGTCGGCGATTGCAGCCGCAGCTGGGACAGTAAATGCAGCCATCGGTGGGTGTCCATTTTTCGATGGAGGCCCGATAATACTTGCGCCTGTTATTATCCTTGGACGCACTCAACTTGGGTTTGGGCTCTTTGCAGCTGCTGCTGGTTTGCGTCGGCGCAGCACAGGCCTTTATGGGATCAGTCGCTGGTGCTGCCCCACCCTGATAGTTCCTGGCTATGTCTACAATGGACCTGAGCCGTAGAAGGATTTTGCAATGCTATCTCAATCGAGGGGCGCTACTTACACTTTTCGGCCTCATCTGCGAGCTCAGACTCGGACATGCCGGTCATTTTGCTTATCTGGGAAAGACGCTCCTCGCTCACGCCATGCTGGGCGGCTAGCTTGTGCAAATTCTTTAGCTTCTCATTCGCACTCTGAATAATTTCCGGGTGATCTGCCTGAATATGATCGACCAGACTGCTCGTATCGTAGCGCGAGCATTTGATAATCTTCAGACACTTAAGACAACGCACATATTGTTCTGGACAGCTCTCGGCCATTTTCTCAATTGAACGCTTAATTTAATGTGTGTATTTTTGATTCGAATGTCTGTTTATGTGTGTGAATATTTTGTGAATATTGTGTATTTAGCTTGTATCCCTTGCTTAGCCGAAACGAACTGTTTACGATTGGCACAAATAACTCTGTGTGCTGGGTTGACATTTTCTTATTAACGTTTATGCTTGTATGTATGGATATAGCATCCATGCTATATAATCCTATATTATTCTTAGCAGCCATAATTCTTAACAGCAAAATTTTTATTGTCTGTCATTTGAGGTTCATAGCAGCGTTCACTTGCAAGGCCAAACAAAAGAAAACTATATGGGTGTGGGTGAGGGTACGATTCAAAGTTGTGGCTGGGGTTCATTTTTCAGCATTTCGTCAAAATTGATTTTTTACTGCATTTACAGCATGATGTTGCCATTTGGGTCGCGGTCCTGGTCTCGCTACACTCTTTGTCGCAAACATTTCCCATTACAATTGTGTGTGCGTGCCTCAGAGTGCCATCACTCATACGCACCGTTGTGCGCGCTCCTGTCTAAAAAGTCGACGCGCGTCTGTTTTATTTTATTTTTTTCTTTTACACAGTTTCGGCATGCGTTTGAATTTATTTCATTTTGTTGATGTTGTTGCTGTTGTTGTTGTCTACACACTTGAAGATGTTATTAGCGCGTCTGGCGTCTCGGATGGGGAAGAACTTTGTCTGTGCCTGCCTGTTGCCTGCTGCCTACTGCCTACTGCCTGCGTCATTGCCATCGAATTATGGATACATTCTGTTTAGAATGTTTTAAAAGTGATTTGCATTTTTACGCCATGTATTATTATACATATTATTAATATTACACAATATATTTCATACAGTTCTTCGTTTTCGTAAATAAATACATTTAAATTTGTATTCTAAACACGTGTTTCTATATCTCCTTTATAACTACTACTTACGAGTACATATACAGTTAACATATATAAAAATACAGTTTTCAACTTTTGTTGCATTTTCAATTTGTGTTAGCTTTGGAAGCTTCACACCTAAAATTGTATTTACCCGAAGTTTTCATTTCTCTTCTTGCCGTCACAAAAATGTTAACATTTCTTATATAGTTTGGTTTTTTTTCTTGCAGTAAGTAAGAAATATATAGTCGTAGACTATTACTTTATTTTATACCCTGTACCCATATGGGAGAAACTCTGATGATGAAACTGATGAAAAGCTTTCCTTAAGTTACGAAATAATAGGCTTAAGGAAATGAAGTCCTTAGTTAATTCTAGAATTTTAAAGAATATGCTTGCGTGTATGTTATCCAGTTATGGGCACAGGGTATTAAAATCATTCCAATGCTTCTCTCTGTTATGTAAAATAGAGTAAAAAAGCAGAAGTGGTGCAGCATAGTGTAACCTAAAAGCAAATATTTGTTTTACTCTCATCCCTCTATATAGTTCAGCAATGTCGTTTGGTGGTTGTGCATTTGGTTAACTATGCCATGTTTTGTTTAAAGATATGCTCCCATATTTTACTTGTTGCCTAGCTTAAGTCTTACGGTGACAGATGCGAAATAGCCAGTTGTGAAGTGACAGATTCAGTTAAGAACTTACAAAGTGATTTTTAAAATACATAAATACGTACATACATATATTATAGATCTCAAAAATAAGCATAGCCTAGACTAGAGTTACTTTATTAAATTGGACTAAAACAAACTGCTTTGCATCTTGCAGTCCGCTCAATAGTATTTACATAGTATTGGTTTAGTAAATTATAAGTAATTAACAGGTGCGTTTTATAGAATATTCGCTGCTAAAAACTATTCAGATCTAAGGTAATGCTTAACACTTGAAATTCTTCATTTACCTCTGGTTAGTTGGATTCAAAATCAATTATATAAAATTTGCATTCCAATTGGCGGATAATCATTAATTTTAATGCGAATATAATTTTTCAGAACTTCATTTAACAAACAATTCCGATATCATTATCTCTATAAAACATATGTACAGAATATGTATTTCTAATGCGGAAATGAGAGAACATAAACAGAATTTTGGTCTCAGTATGGGATAGTAGTATCTAAAGTCGAATGAAAGTAATTTATAAAATCAAGGCAAAACTCGGAAATGAACGGACATCGTGTCTCTTCTTTTTTTTTAAAAAAAAGGTTTATAGACTTTCGTTTCATCACGAAACTACTTATAATGGTTAACTTTCATATATTCCTGAACATTTCGTGTAAACTAACGATTATAAATAATACTCGTATCTATTTACAAATGCAGCATAAACGTACTTAAAACTGAGCGCCTTTGTCGCTGTGGGGTCATCCAATAGAAGTTTTGGGTTCAACAGCAAAGTTTGTGACAAAAAAACTCATAACAACAATTTGTTTGACGGGGGCTGTTGCTCCTAACGAATTCACATCACACACATACAGAAGCACGCACTTTGAGGCACATTCAGTTCTAATCATACCTACATATTAAAAATTGATGTTTCCACTACACTTACGCTAGCCTAACTATTCACACAACAGCCCCCAGTTCCCAGATCCCAGCTCCCAGTCCCCCGCTACGCTCTGTATTGGCTCTTCATCTGTCTGTACTAAAACTTAAAGCTAATTGTAAACATTAAAAATTGATTTACCTGCTACGATGACAATAATGAGGACGAGGGCGAGGACGCTGGGGAGGTGGACATGGACGTGGGCGAGGACGTGGACGTGGACGTTGAAACAAGCTCCTCAAGGAGCATGCCCAATTGAGCGCAACTGGCGCTCGCAGCAACAAATAACTTTTGCACTTTTAATACATTTATCACTATTTGGCCTAAGTTGTCAGTAGTGTGTGCAGGCAGGACCAAAAGGCTAAAGCAGCGACGCAAAAATATGGCGGGTGCCGAGGAATGAAAATGGAATATGCGACACGCCAAGGCGTTTGGAACGACGCCATTTTTTGTTGCTGTTGTTGTTGTTATCAACGTTGTTGTTGCCTGTCTTAGAGCGTATTCTGCTTGTTGACTTCACCGCACTTGGCAGCTGAGTCCGGACGCGCACGTGGGCGCCTCTTTGGCTGCAACGAGTACAGCCGTCCGCTGCGTGCTCGTGTCTGTGGTTCGCCCTCGAAACGGGACATGGTATGGCTGCCACTAAAATGAAAGATAAAGGCGTTTATAGGGCGTGAGTGGAGGGGGGGACAGAGTGGAATATTTTTATCTGGCTTACTTAAGCTCCAGTTTGGCCAGACGCTGCTTAATTTTGGCCTGGCTCGCCGTATACTCGGCCAGCAGGCGGGCCAAACGCAAATTCAGGTTCTCCACCGACAACTCCAGCTTCTCAATGCCGCCCTCAATGCTGTCATGCACACGCTGCGAATCTGTAACGGAAGTGCGCACGGAAGTGTGCCCGGATGTAAGTCTAATTGAGTTATTGTCGACCTCCACCTTACCCGCAAAGATTTGCTCGTCCAGCAGACCGTCCTTGCGCAGCAATTGGCAGCCGCGTTGTGTGAGCGTGGAGCGTGCCTCTGGATAATCAGCCAGTGTCTCCCACAAGTCCCGCTTAGCCAGGCAAAAGAGATCCGAGTAGCCCAGAGAACGCACATTAGCCGTGCGTCGATTTCCCGTCCGATTGCCGGCAATTTCCAGGACGGACACTTCGCCAAAGACAGACCCAGCTCCCAGAGTGGCCAGCACCGTGATGCCATCATCGCCTACCACCGACAGCTTGCCACGCTTCACAATATACATTTCTTTGCCCACATCCCCCTTGCGACAAATATAATCACCCGGACTGAAGACCTGTAGTTTCAGCTTCAGAACGAGCGCCTCCAACAGTCCCGGCTCGGTGTCATGGAAGATGCGCACCTGCTTCAGCGTATCCATATGCACCTGAATGGCAATCTCTGCCTTCAACTTGTCAGGCAAAGCAGCCAGCACTCGCTCCTCGTCTAGGGCCCCGCTTTGGGACCAGGTGTAGGCAAACCATCGTATGACGCGCGCCTCCAACTCATGCCCCACGCGACGAAAGGCCATGTACTGTTTCACACCATCCATGCGGTTCTGAAACTCCACACGAGCCACGTTCATGTTAGATATCATTGAGCCGATGTTACCTGTCAGAGTAAGTGTTTGTAATGCCATTGAGAGAACTGTATTTGTGATGCTTCAGCAAATCGCAAACTTTGCTTTGATTTTGCGCGCTTGCTGTGAATATATATATTTTTCGGGAGTAGCTAGTCCACACGGATGAGTAACTGTTTATCCTTGATAATAGTATATTTAAAATATATCTGCCAAGAGACTTTCTGACTTCTAAAATAAGGCAGCAGACACAATCGCAGTGTCGTTTCTTAAATATTCATGATTGATGACGGCTTTGAATTCCTCGATCGAGCCAAAATAGTTCCCTGGAGGCCGTCGATAGACATCCTAGCTGCTTTACGACTTATGCAAGCGCCGAATCTTTTATCCTAGGAGTCCAGTTCCTATTAAAACTTAAACCTTAGAAAGTGACCGATCTAAGCAGAGCCTAGCACTAATCAAGACGATGCCACACCTCCACCCATTTCGGTATCAATACACGTATTTCTCGTTTTATGGCTTCAATCAGGTACATATACTTGTAAAATGAAATTTGTTTTATATTTCATTTCGATTGCAAACGGGTCTGGGTCACAATGCGACACCACGTGTGCTTAACGTGGTGAATGTTAGCACACAAGAGCGTCTAATGGCGGCACTTCCGGTACACAGACTATCCTAACATACCTACAGTATAGTAGGTATATTACATACGAGTATATATGTACAATATGTATGCAGATATTTATATACTTATGTCTGTGGGGGCTGTGAAGTGTGTCTGATGTTAACAAACGAACTTTGCATTCATCATGGTAAATTTGTTTGCTCAAACGCCCAGCCACCCAAATGCTATAGAAGGACACCCAGGACCGGTAATGGCGACGATAAGGGCGACAACAAAAATGATAAAAAGGCACGTTTGCCAAAAAGTGAGACGAGCGACAGCAACAAATCAACCCCGCAAGACAAAACAGAACAAAGCAAAACAGAAAACAAAACAAAATGGCAAAAGAGTAATGAATAATGTGGGTCGTCGACGTCGAGGACGACGTGTGGGTCGTCATAGTCGTCGTCGTTGTCATCGTCATCGTCATCGTCCTCTCTCTCTAGTCCTAGTCCTAGTGCGCGTCATGTCGGTCGTGCGTGGCTGTAAATTAATACCCATTGATGTCACAGATGTCACTCTGCAACCAATTAAACGATCAGACGAAATATTTGCGTAAACAACGCGGCTAAACAAACACGCTCAGCTCAATGAACCCCAAAGCCAGCGCCCGCAGGAACCGGGCATCCCAAGAACCCATCCTAGCACTTCCGATTCCCCTTGACTTCCAATGGCATACTCACCCACAATGGTAGCGAAGATGAGCACGCCGGCGAGGAAATCGGCCACCACAAACAAATATTCCGCATCGTTCTCGGGCGTGGGCGTCTCGCCGATTGTCGTCAGAGTCAGGGTGGACCAGTAGAAGCTGTAGATGTATTGACGCTGGAGAGTGTTGTTGCGGGTTCCGTTCAAGTTGTATACCCAGTTATCGGAACTGAAGCCCAACTCGTAGCTAATGGCAAAATACATGCAGGCATTCCAATGGATGAGCACCAATATGGCCAGCACCACTTTGCAGATGCGAAACGCATTCGGATATCCGGTGGCTGTCTCTGTCCGATCGAACCACTCCCAAAGGCGTGGCAGACGCAGCAGGCGGTTCAGGCGCACAATTACTGGACAGGGTAGATACAAACTGGAGCAAGTCTCTGGCGGCCACCAGATATAGGCCAGATCGGTTGGCAGCATGGATAGTATGTCCAGATACCAGCCCTTGGTGTGAAAGTAATTCCGTCGCAGCCTAAAGGCGTCTCGCACCAGGAGGCCCTGGTCCAGGAAACCTACCAAATGGTGAATGTCAGAGGCATGTAACAAAAGCTTTTATATGCATGGCCTTATTCTATGGCTGTATGAGTGTATTGGTGTATATATATATGTATGTGTGTGTGTGTGTGTGTGTGTGTGTGTGTGGCACGCAGCACGCGTTAAGTTTCAAAATAATTCGCGGTATTATTTTCCAGTTGGCAAGATTCCTTTGCATGCCTTTTGTTGGCGCGCTGTGCTGGTTTGTTTCTTTTTTCCACTGTAGTTCTGGTTGTTCTTTCTCTGTGTGTATGTGTGGTGTGTGTGTGTGTGTGTGTGTACGAGTGTGTGTGTTTGTGTGGTGTGCATCTGAATATTTCATTTTTGCATAGACGGGCACAGTTCATGGCGCTGTCGTTGTCGCCGTTGTTTATATTAAATACGTTTGTCGCTATATGTATGAGATGTCAAGGTTGGCTTATCCCTGTGTTTGGCAACACGCACACACACACACACACACTCACACCCACACATACACAGAGATGAGCGACCCAAATGTGTATGTATAAGTGTGACCGGCAAATGGCAAATGGCTCAGTTTGGTTTGGTCTTTCTTGGTTTTATTGCTGACGTTGTCGTCGACACGTCTGCTGTGGCTTAAGCTGATGTAGGAACCTCACATGAAAGTCTTCAAGTCTAATTTGCGTAGGCCGTTACGACAGACACACACACCCTCGCAATCACACACACACATATGTATATGTATAAGAGCACACGGTCAAACACCTCTAAAATGTATGCGTCCAATCAAAGTAAAGAAAACCACTATTGTCAGTATAGCTGTGATTTTACTGCCTCGAACATGCCAATTTTTCAGATTGAGTTGCTTAAAGCTGCGGTCAGATATGCAAATAATTTGCAGACATTTTCTTTATTTCAACAAAAAATTTGTTTAATGCACATATTGGTCTTAATGGAAGTAACTTATAGTTACAAGACAAGTTAATTCTATTTAAACCAATATAACCTCTCAAGTCATTAATTTTGGTTGTCCTTAAATACCGTAATGCAATTACTTCATATTCGTGGCCAGGATAGCAAATCGCAAATCAAAATCAGTTATAATCCTTATCACAATTAATAGTATTCTTTGGTGATGTTTAAGATTTGATTTTGTTGTTGTTGAAGCGAAGCAATATATATTTGGCCTTCCCTTCGGTGTGATGTAACGAAAAAATAATGCCGAAAGTTTTTAAACACGTTGAGGGTTCTATTAAGGATTCCTTTTTAACCAATCGTTGCAATTCTTAGTTTACTACATTTTTAAAACAGTTGGAAAAAATGCAATTAGGAATAACCTTATTATGTTTAGAGTCTAAAGACGCCTGTCCAAGAAACAAAAAAATAAAAAACAGGGATATCTTATTTGTTATACTATATTCTTTTGTATCGAAATTCTGGCTGGAGTTCGATATAGTGATAGTTGACTGTATGAAATCAAACAACCGCATAACAAACTGAGCCTTAAAAAATGTCAGTTACATGCATAAAAAGACTATTTTGATAACCACACTAGTAAGAGCCTGTTTCAGCCCACACGGGCAACTCGACTCACCCTCGTGCATGTGCACCAATGTATCCAGCAGGTAGATGAAATCACACAGATAGTCCAGTGTGTACCAGACAGCAGGCGCGTTCTTGTTAATCTCCCAGAATACCGACCGTCCAACCACAAAGATGATATTATATAACACAGCCAGAGAGACAATGGCCAGCCACTGCATAGAGAATAAGAAGCGTAGGATAATACGGAAGGGGATTAGTTCGAATGACAGCCAGATGTAGAAAGCTGCGTGTCAACTCACCCGGTAGTGGGACTGCAATGTCGGATCCACGGAGAGTCGATTGCACAGGGCGCTGTTGCCGCGAATCTCACTGGAGAGTGCCGCATCGTCGGCGGCATTTTTGCCTATCTTATCCGTATTGGTCGTATTCGAGAACTTCTCCAGAAACCAGTCGGGTGGCTTGGCCCGATTCCGTTTGGTCAGACGCTGACGTAATGCCTGCAGTGTGCGTCGCAGCGCCGACGGCTTGGTGCGTTTCGTTTGCTCCTGTAAAAGTTGTTTAAAAAGTTTAGTCAAACTTTCCACCAAACAACAGCAACAGCAACAGCAATAAGAACAACAGAAATTTGAAAGCAAAGGGTTAGCCGCGTCGCCGGCGTGCCGAAATGTGCATTTGTTGAGCACTTTACTTGGGCTAATTGAAACATTTTAATGCCATATCGCATCTCGAACAACATTAAAACTTGGCCAACTCGAACACGGCGCCTCAACTTTTTCGCTTTAAATGTGCGCTCACACGCTCAGATGATATACGCACTTAATATATACATATCCATATGTAATGAGAGCGGCACAGCTGCAGACTGCGTGGGCATAAAACTATATATGCGTACATACATGCATAACGGACTGAAATTTAAACAACATATAGTGGGTATTTTCATAGGTCTGGATGGAATTCATCCAAAAATGAAACCCAAATTGCATCTCAATTTTCTTTTGAATATCTAAATACGACTAGGGATGTCTAGAGAAAATTAAACCCCGAATGATTATAACTGAAATAATATAAAATCTTCTAACGCTGGGTTCCAGGATATGGTTTATTCTAAATAGAGTTTCATTTCAAACGTTATAGGCTTTACAATTTTCATAAACCAAGCTATTGAACATTTTTTATTTTTATTAAAATTATAGAATTATAAAATAACATTCTACAAGTATGTAGCTACAGCTTAAAGCGAAGTTTTTGCACAAATTTAAAAGCATCACGATTTACTTTTAATGCAGTGTTTTGTAGTCTCATAATGCACTTCTATTTGTGATTATTTTACGAGCTAAAGTTCCATTTAATATAATTTAAAGAAGTCCTTAAAGTATGCTCTGTTTTATTTCCTGTTTTTTGCACTTACTTATAACCACTGTACCCAACACAAGAATGGAAAAAAGGCTTTTGGATTTAGTTGAATGTCAAAGCAATATGGATTTTCTCTGATTATGTTATGTTATTCCTACTAGATATCTAATATCTCCCACTGTGCGCCGGGTGGGTTCAGCTATGTGTGTATGTATTCCTATAGCTATCCGTATATGCAGGAGACACACACGTGATGATGCTTATTACAAACATTGCTGCAAGTGTGTGCTTGTTGGTGTGTGCGTGTCTGTGTCTGTTGTCCCATGCGCGATTGTGTGCTTCCCAGATTAAAAGCATGTGCTTGACAGGCTAATAAACGCTTATCAGTTGGTGGCAGCATTTAATCCATTAAGCCATCTTATGGTATATCCGCCCAATAGAGCTCAATATGACGTACACGCCACATGTTACACAAGGACAAAGTGATATGAAGAGAGACAAGTAAGCCGCCAGGCCGACACTTGTGTGGCTTTGTTTTCATTCTTATGACGAAAAGAGAAATGTGGCACTACATAGCTATAACACGTGAATCACCGAAGGAGGTAACTACCAAAAAAGCTTAATTAAAAATGTAATTAGCAGCAAAGTTTTTGATTTATTCGAAAACAAACTTTCCACTTCTATAACACACACCAATATTATTCCTAATAGTTTAGCTCGTAATACATACAGATTTTTTCTGTCCCTCTACCACAGGTAAACTAAATTTTTTCACACGAAGGAAGTTTTTTGTAATGCAATGTGAACTGGAATATTTTTCTAACGTTTTTCGCAAGCCAGAAACATCAGCCATTGCAATTTCAATTGATATTTTTTTTCTTTCCGAGAAACGGAATTTATCTGTGCTAAAAACTGTAAGCTCCTAGTTCATCTATATAAAAAAAATTTAAGCTTTAAATATGAATTTAACGATGCACCTACATTTATTATAGATATAAGATAAGTAAGGTAAATACATAGCTTTAGCAAACATTAATTTAGCCTAATTAATACGGCTACTATCGAATTGTTAAACTTATCACATATATTGGAAAATGTGCAGCGAACGTCTACGGAATTCGAAATAGGCTTAACTAAAAAACCCATTACTGTTGCATTAAAAAATATTCGCTAGATAGATAGATATAGATTCAATGAAAATAAATAAACCCAAGATTTTAGAGATCTTTCACATACGACATAGTACTAGGTGGTAATAATTTAAAACATGCATTGTAAAAAAATAACCAAATAAAAAGTATAATACTTGTAAGTTTGTTATTTTTTCAAAACTGAAAAGCAGAAACGAATGAAACGGAAACCCCTTAAATTCAAGAAGAAAAGTATAGAAATCAAAATTTGAAAAGGATCCATCTTAATGTAAACAATTTGTAAATTAAATGTTTATCATTATTAAAATAAAAAATATATGCTATAATAGACAGATGCGTTTTGCAAAAAAAAAAATTGAAGAATATTTTATACAATAATTCATAAAATTATATACATCTATCTATTTATCTGAACGTGATGAATTACATGGTGAAAGTTGAAATTCTTGTTGTACAAAAATCGCTTGTAGATTAGTAGTATATATACTTGTATATTTAATTGGTAAGGTGCGTAAGATACGGTACAAACGTGTGTATTCGAGTAAAAGTGCTAGTCTGACCAGTAGTTCTACATGATCTATTAGACAGAGTGGAAGCGTTTGTTTCTCAAGGTCAAGCTGACTCAAGAAGTTCACAGCCATAGTTACCATGTCATTTTGTCCGGTTATAGCTGATATATCTAGTGATTGCACCATCACCACTGCACTTAGCGCATACAAATGTTCGAGCTTAGCGCGCTCGTGTCGCGTTCTTCACTACACTTTTCACTTTTGCTTCAATGAGTCTTTGCTTTTATGGTCGTCTGTCGCGCAAATCAAAGTTGGGTCTATCCGCGAAACAAAAACAAAAAACAACATTATATATACGCACGATACAATAACAACAAGGCCTAATATGCGTCGCATGCGCATGCGCGTTGACGTGCCCGTTAACACTGAAAACGCCACGCTTGTCACATGCCGTTGATTACCAACGTTGGCGTCAGCGTCAGCGTCAGCGCCTACTGCGACAGTGGCAGAAGCAGCGACAGAAGCAGCGGCTTCATACACAGGTGGCCACCATGGCGCATACACAATAACTGTCTGTGCAAGTTGTCATCGTCGCATCTGCTGCTGCTGCTGCTGCTGGTGTTGCTGGTGCTGTCGCTGCCGTTATTGTTGTTGTAATTGTAATTGTTGTTGGCAATTCAAGTGTTGTTTTAGTTTTTTGCTTTTTTTTGCAATTTTCTTAATTTGCATGTAGCGTCGCGAATGACAACGGCGTCGGCATCGGCGACGGCGATGAAGGCGTTGCGTTTAATTAATTAACTTGCATAGTCCCGAGTCACTTTGGTCCTTCATTACAGGCATTTCAGGCCAGGGCGAGTTACCAGTAAACCGAACGACTCACCGACCGACCAACCAACAACTTGCCCGCACGCTATTGATGCCAATTTGACAAGATTGATGACACTTAATGTCGCGTTGGTGCCGCCATTGCGCCCACAAAGTCACATTCTGTCATATTAACTAAGTGGCTTTGCATTTTTTTAAACGGTTTTTTGGCGTTGGTTTTATCATTTAATTAAGCTGAAAGCCATCTAATGTTTAACATTGTTTGCACAACACATTTTTGCATAAATTGATTCGCACTCATAACAACCTAACACGGCATATAGTTGGTTTGATTGATTTACATAAATGCAATGAACATTGAATTATGTATACTATGGGTTTCATGGCTGAAAATTTGAATTTTTTATTAAATGAGTTAGTTCTAACTGCCAGCGGTTGAAATGGCTCTTTTGATTTATTATTTTCAGAATTTCAATTTTAAATCTCTCGCCTTTAAACTTTTTTAAAGCTTTTTTTTGTCATTTTTTGCGATTCATCTGCACAACAAATTACACAAAAGCTGTTTTAGTGTTTCCATTTCTATTGGAATAAATGGCCTGCAACTAATGTTTTACTATTTAAATTTATTTTAAGAGTTATTTATTGTTGGATCTTTAATCTTATTGAATGGTAATGAAATTGGAAATAAAGCTTCCGAGTTCGAATGCTTGCACAAAACTATTACATCGTAATTGAAGTGAAATATTTGTCAATTCCTTTTCTTTGTGGTGAAAAACGGTTTCTTATGACAAATAATTCGCATATTACATATATGTAGTACAAACATGTTTATACACCTTAACACGAATGACAAGTAAAATAATATGAGTATTAATGTTTGGGAAGAGAAATTTATTAAGAATACATCATTGAAGGCGGAATTGAAAGTGGCACGAATAAATACTATTTCACTTGTATCAGTGCTGATGGGTTTATGTTTTTAAGCTGTTTAATGTGTAAAATTGGCGGAACATAGGATAAAAAAGCAGAGTGAGAGATTCATTTTAACAAATACCATTTTTCTCAAATGCAAGCATCTCTGCTAATGCGAACACATTTTGCAAATACCTAGTTTAAATGCCACTAATGAACTCAAATCACCTGTGTGTAGCAACAGAATTGGTTCTCATGAAAATTGCATGTGTAAGCTCAGAGCAACAAAGCTGAAATAGTGGCATTATGGAAACCCCGAGGGTCTTTGTGCCTGTGCCAATTACAAGGTTAACAGTAAGCCAAAAATCGAATGGTCAATTCGATGTACGGTGTTTTGCTTTGGTTATTTTATGTTTTTTTTTTTTCGTTTTTGGCGTACTTGTACTTGAAAAGCAATCGCAGTGAATTGAATATCAAGTCAGCCACACTGGCGAACTACGCAGGTCGCCTGATTGGCATGCAAAGCACATACGAGTGCTGGACAATAAATTTCCATAATTGTGCCTCCGTTAGAGCAGCGCAGCCAGCGGACCAGCAACAAGCTTTATGATATTCAAATCGAGCTTTTCGGCGTTTATTCGATGCGTATGTTTTTATGCTCAAATAAAATGCTCTTAACGCTTTATTAAAACGAAGTGTTAGAAGTTGCCAAGAGTCAAGAGCGTCTAAGTGTTGTGTACAAATTTAAATTCCAGGCAAGCCAGAAAACCGAGCATGCAGAGAACAAAAACACACACAATATGGGTACAGTAGAACCTGCCTTATTGGGTATTTCTGTATAAAATATCTCATCCTTCATGCTTAAGCTTTCTTCAGAAGTCAACGCAAACCGAATTGAGTTTAATTTTCAAAACAATGTCTTCATACTATAACTAGGTTCATTCACAGCTAGAAATCGGAAAAATTGGTTCACCCCTATATGCTGACATTTAAAGAAGCTAACCCGAGATTGGCCCACATAAGCAGATTTTACTCTTTACATATCTGTGTATTTGCTTATATTGTAGATATATTTTCTATCATCAATGGTTGCCATTGGCACTTCACGTGAATCTCGACAAATTGCGATTTATCATTAACACATTTATTATGTCCAATTGAGTTGTATCAACACCCACCCACACATTTCGTATTTGTTATTTGCATACAGATTTTGGGTTTATTGATTAAAAGTCAGCAAGTGACTAAGCTGTTGTTATTGTTTTTTGTACTTTGCGCTCATTGCGCTGGGAAATTATGCAAATGTGCTGCAGATTAGATAATCATAATAACATATTGGCATTTATCAGCGATGAGTACATCCAGCTGGCAGGCTAATGGTTTCAGCTTAAACACACGTCAACATCACCCACTCTTTAAAGCACCTTGCCTTTTTAGCCTTTTACATAGCCATGTATGTTTGCTTTAACCAGAACATTCGTCAAGCCGTCTATTAGGCGGGACTAACAATAAGCCTGGCCTTGTTTTTTCACAAACATAAACACACACAAACACAGAGAGCGGCCTTAAAACCGTCATCAGAATAATCATAATGCCTTTTAGTTGCACACAGACGCCTTCTGGTTTGTTATAAGGCTCCACTTTTCTTGTTATTTACCGAGCGCATTAGGCGGCTTTTGAATTTGCGGTTCGTGTAAGTCACTGTCGAGTCGAGTGCCTAGGGAGAGTTCAGAATTTTTCTGCTGGCGACGTCTAACACGTTTTTTGCGCAACTGAAATTCTTACAAAATTGACTAACTAAAAAAACCCTGGATTAGCGACAGGACGAGCCGAACGGATAGAGACAAAGGATGGGATGGATAGACAGGCGTGCTCTTTGTTTATTTTCCTGTGGCTTTTTATTGCTGTACTGTTGTTGTTGTTTCGATTGCTGTGTGGCTCAAATTGCAGAGAAACAATAAGCAAAACAGAAAATGCTAATGGTAGAGGAGGCGAAAGGAATTGAGCTCTAAACGCAAAGTATGGAAAACAAATAAAGCTTATTAATCGGTTTAATAGCGAAAGCAGGCGTTAGCCAGCACGACATCCTGGACACTGACCAACTTGGCGGTTATTAAACTATTTCTACCACTCGTGTTTCTCGTTCAATTCAATGTCGCTGAATGTCTCGAGCATTTTCAATGCCAGTCAGGCAATTTATTTCCATCATTCCGCCATCGACGGTCACTTAATTGTTCCACGTTGGTGGTGCAAAAATTTGAGTGATGAACAAACAGCAAAGCGACTTGACTATGAGACAAGGGACAAACAAGGGACAGAAGGACAAACAGATAGAGAACCCTATTTGTAAGCTAGCAACAATGAGTGCTGTGTACTCTTTCCTTGTTGTTGTTACTGCTGCTGTAGCTGTTGCGGCACCTTGTTCCCTTGCTGAATGGTTGGCTTGCTGGCTTGGTGGCTGGCTTGCTGGCCAAAGCACACACAACACACCTCAAAAGCAATTTTTGGTGTGCGGTTTTCTGGTCGGACGCTCGATTCGATAGGACGTCCACATCACTCTCTGAGGGTGGGCCGAGTCGATCATTTGTGGTTATTTCATTGCGTTTTTGCTGTCATGCCATTTATGAAATGACATTGAAACAGTTTCTTCTTCTTCTACCTCCATCTTCAATCCGCCTAATGCCTTACCATTGTGGCAAGATGAGTGGGGATAAGAGAGGCAGCCACTTTTTAAATTACCAGTTGCCGCTTATATGTCAAACCTGTCTAAAATTGGGCAACAGCCAGCTTTAGCTCCCGGAACAAGTATTTTACAATAAAGAAAAATGCACTTCATTATAAGAGTATATCCACATCTAGCTACTATTTTGTTCGATTACAATTTTATATAAACAGCAGCCAAGTATTGTGCCTAAACGCCTTACTTTCATTAAATTTTTTGAGCATACTTAGCTTAGACTTTTAATAAGAGCCATTGCAGGTGCCACTTCTGCTTGGGCAGCTGTTTACGTTTAACTTTGCAATTTATTCGGTTGGAACATTTGATTGAAGTGACAGGCGAAATGCCCTTCGAAATACTTTGAAGACGGTTGTCTTCAACTAACTGTAATGTGGACTAATTATAGAAACACATCATTTATGCTATAAATGCAATTTAGTCTAAGTTATGACTATGCATAGTCATATGTGTATAGTATGCATGTGTATGCATAACAAGTTAACTCATATGGAAAATCGAATGCAATATAAATAAATTACTTGTAATTAAAAGATATCCTTAAATCTTCAAGCCAAAACACATTTCTGAGTATTATGAACAAAAGTTTCATATTTTTGCCACTAACAAATAAAGAACATATAAATAGATTTGTTCTTTATTTTTACAATCTACGGGGAAAGTTAAAAACTCAAGGCTTCAATAAGTAAGAGCCATGACTGAATAGTGTTCGGGTAGGAAAAATATATATTATCCCACTTATATCGAGGAAAGAGTGAGAATATTTACTAGATAACATCGAAATATGCCCCATTGTTACAAGTCGTTTTCTGTAACCTTCGGTAAAGTGTCTTTGGCCGTTCTTTTTTTCTGCGTTAATAATAGCTCGAGGGTTAAATGAAGTTTTTAGGAAGCCTCGGCAAAACGGCACATAAAAAACGAAGAAAATAATGCAATTATTTTTAAGTCAATTGACACGTGCTAATAAAAACGGCTGCGGGCACCCAAACGGGCTCCAAAATGCCGGCCACAAAGCCGTCGACCGCCTGATGGCGACGACAACTGAGTACGTGACAATGAAGGAAGTAATTAAAACGCGATTTAGCTGCGAAGGTCAAGTTTATGAAGGTCTGCAGTTCGTTTACATAGCGCATCGCATGCTGCTGGGTAAATTACCTGTAGCATAAATATATGAACTCTCTCGCTTTTCGCTTTAAGTATATACATATGCTCATACATATACAAATATATGAGCACTCATGCTTGTATACTGTACAATAGTATACATAGTAGATGACAGCATGAAGGCATGGCCAGGACGTTGCTGATGGGGAACGGCGATAGCATTAATCAATTAAAGCAATTACTTAATTACGACAGGGCGCATAATTGAATATCATAGCTGTAGCCGTTAAATTATAACCAACAAATAAATAAACTATAGCCAGACTGTGGGCACGCGCGTATTAAATTACGCATACGCCATGCTGTCCGCTAAATGTGGAATAAATGTGTCTACTCACTTGAATAAGTTTCCGTCCATTCTCCAGATAGTTCTCATCGTTCTGGTGGCTAACAGGAACGGCCTGGCACTGGTCCTTCCGCACAGCAGCCACAGCGGTGGCCTCAGCAACATCTTCATCGTACTCTTCAACTTCATCATCATCCTCCTCCCCATCCGTTGTTTCATTGCTGAGCGAGCTGGGACGCCTGTTGGTGTTGGATGAAAGCATGCCACGCTGCTGATAATGTCGTTGCCAAGGGGCACGTTGACAACTGTTCATAGCATGCTGCTGATGCTGCTGCAGGGCAGGCGGATAGGGCGGTGGCTGTTGTTGTTGCTGTTGGTGCTGTTCTCGGACTGCGTTGTCATCGCCAACCTGACCCAAGGGTCTGTGCATCAGCTCCGGCGTTGGCGTTTGGTTGGCAATTATGTGCTTGCGTGGCAGACAAACGCTACCACTTGCTCCATCCGGCGTAATCGCAGCCATTGGCCTGAATGGAGCATACAAGCCGCCACTGACTTCTTCGGTTGCCAACGCGTTGTCCAAACCATTGAATGCCGTATGGAAAAGAGCTTCGGCAGCGTTCTGGCTTGTTGAACTGCCGTAAGGAATTTGAGCTGTGGCTGTAGATGAGGGACTTGCAAAGCGCGTAGTGCGATACATGGGACGGCTTAGGCTGAAGGACATTAAAATAACAAAATAATCAATAACAATATGTCTTTAGCTTCATGGGGAAGTTGTGCCAAAATATCGAAAATTGGCAAAAATAACAATAACTAAAGACTATTTATGAAAAGAAAGGCCTGTGCCAGCAAGTTATACAAAATAAAGTGCATTTTACTTTATATTTCATAATCACCAATCAATTTAGATGATTTATTCTGTTTCAGACACATTTATAATTACACTTCACCCTTTGTGCGATGGATTTCAAAGCAATATGTGCTTACTTTTAAATTTATATATTAGGTTTATTTAATCTCTTCTGCCTAAGACTTAAGAGGAACTCTACGCTAATAAACTTGGAAATTTGCAATAAAGTTGACTTCTTAGAAATTCGAGCATGGATTTCGAATTTGAGGTTCGAATCACTTTCGCTGTCATTTTTTTGGATTAATAAAATTAAATACAAATTCAAATACAAATAATAACTTTAAATTATTGATTATTTTTTTGGATTAATAAAATTAAATTCAAATTCAAATACAAATAATAACTTTAAATTATTGCGGAAGTACTACTTACTTGTAACCATATTTGGGCGATTCGGTTTCAGGCCGGCGTCTGGTGGACATCATAGTATTGACCCGATCTCCGCGGGCTGCAGCCATCATATAGGTCCACATTGCGATGCATTACATGCAGGCGCATGAGACCCGAATCGAGGGGAGGAATGAAATCGGCTACCTTGGGCACTCAAGCGGCATGAGTGCACGGAAGTTGCATGAACGAATGAGCTGCAAGTAAGCGTAAGAAGTTCCCGATTACAAACTCAGAAGCACAGTGCATTTATGGCCAGTGCCCCACCAACTGTAGGTGGAGGCACTAAAAAATTATTTAACGCACAATGTTAGCCAGCGGGCGGAAGACTTTAAGTCTGTTGGTAAAGTAAAATAAAATAAAGTCAAATGCCTTAAATTCAAAGGCCACGGCAGGGCCTAAACACCCACTTGACGGCAATTGTATAGCTCAGTTGTGGAGGGGGAGTGGACCGGTGTGGGGCAGGGCAGTCATAAATGCCTTTGGGTTAGCGTTGCGACTACACGTTGGCTCGGCAATGTGATTGCCCTGCCATAAAAGAGTCGGGCAAGTTGAAAAGAAAGAGTATGTATGTTTTTATGTACTTATGTAGTGGCTGCTGGGCGGTCTGAAGTGACTGAAATGCAGCTGTAATTAAGCAATTAAATGTAAATGGCGGAAACGGCGCTCAAAATTGCCAGCGTGTCGCAAACTTTAAGGGCAAACAATGTTTGTGGCTTGTGGCAATGAAACTTTTCGCACAAGCAATATCCCCGGGCTCCTTAAGGTATGCAACGAAAATTGAAACATTTACGAAAGCATTCGACTAACACAAATGCGGCCAAAACCAAGATGGAGGTAGAGAGAGCGATATAAATGTAAATGAACACAATCAGAATGTTGGCAAAAATTAAGCTTAGAACAAATTTCTTTCTATAATTTCCACTCGAATAGTGTTTTTGAAGCGAATGGAAGCCATCGACCAACCACACCCCATATCCTATAACCGGAGGGGCTCTGTATGCGGCTCAATTGGCAATGCACTGCAGCATTCCACATCTCTTTATGCTAGCTTTCTTTGTCTGCATCTGGATGGCTGGGTAGCTGGCTGGGTAGCTGGCTGGCTGGCTGGCTTGCTGGCAGGGTACTATCACTGTCTGATGTCGCATGATTTTATGTCATAGATTATCTTAGTGGGTTTTTGGCTTTTGCCTTGCTTGGCTACGTTTTGTTAGCGTTAGCATTCAATTTTAAGTGCAGTTTTTCTCTTCTATTCTTTTTTCCTTTTGTTTAATTTTTGTTGTTGTTTCTTTCTGTAAGTGCTGCAGCAAGTTGGACTGCTTCTGATGAGTCAGGACAAAAAGTCTTTGACCGCACAACGCGGGCGCATATTTTGTCGCTTTTACGATCTGCTGTAAATAAACTGAACCGAAGCTGAAGACCAGTTCTTGGGGTAACTAACTAATCAGCCAATGCCATTGGCATATTAACAACAAAGCGTCGAGACTTTGTTCAGTTCTTTTTCGCACTGCACTCTCGAATTGGTGTGCAAGTAATGGCCACGATGAAGATATCGATTTTCACTGGAAAATTCAAGTGAAACCATTTATCAACTTCAGCTGCAAAAATAGTCAAGCAGATAACATAAAATTGACTTTGATAAAATGTGCGAACAGTTTTAAATTCAGCAGCAAAAACAAGCATACGGCCTTGGCATTAGGCAAATAATTTTACACTCATAATGCTAATCAAAGTTCTTATAACACGCTTGCGGCCAAATCGTACCAATTAATGCCGGAAAAAGTTGCCACAACAACAACAATAACAGCAACGTCAAAAATAGCAGAAACTATAGCAACAACAACAATAACATGAAACGTCTTCGTATCAGCTGTAACTTCAAAACCCAGACGAACATCAATAGAAGACGACTGCCTGCCTTCTGATGCCTCTCAAATCGTCCAACTCAGCTTGAGTTGCTAACGAGCTATAAATGGTGTTGCCGGCAGCTTTAATGTGGGTATCTGTATGTGTGTTGTTGTGTGTTTGTGCGCTTATGTGAGTGTGTGCAATCATTTGTAATGATTAAGTGGCGCCCTGTGTGAGTGTTTATGCCCAAAGGACTCGTTTACACGCATTCCACTTGTACAGATTATGAGTCGAAGAAGGTCTTAGCACCACAGCTCCATCGAAGAAATCCTCGCATAATTCATCGCACATCACGGTAAGCCAAACGGCCCCACTCATAATAATGTGGGTCAAATGTTGACCAAGGAGCTACTGCCCAACTCAAAGATATCTTTTTGATGCTTATGGTAAATAAAGACATGGCTATGCAGCCATTGGCCGACATTGAACGTAAATAGAAATAGTTTTTTCATTTCCGCTGTCAAACTTTGTTGCCAATGTATCAAAGTAGCGCGAGGAAGTAGCCAACCGGCCAGGGCCATTGCGTGCAAAGTTCAATGCGTCTACAACAGAATAGCTAAGAAAATACATTGGCAATCAAGTGAATAAATAAGTATAACGATTTCTTGATAGCTTTAAGGTTTTTTGCTGCTTCAACCCATAAAACATATAAAAGTAACACTAATGTTTAATATCCTTTGAAGGAAAAATGTTCACAGCTCATTGTAATAATATTAACGATTTATATGTAAGAACATATATAATAATGATAATAATCTTTAATTATTGCATTTATGATGCAAATTCACAAAATATCATCACTTTGACCAGAAAAACCTCCCTACCAAATGAAATAAAGTATGCACTTTCCGAGGACTACGAGTTGCGAAAGAGTGACTCTTCCACTCCTCCTAATTTTAATACAAGATTTACCTAAATTTGATTTGAAAATCTACTATGTATTGAATGCAATATTGAAAAATATATTTTTCTTAGAACTTTTTTTCTCCGCAGCATAAAAAAATTAAGCATAAACTTATAACGAAAAACGTAAAGGCGCTTAACCACCTGCACAAAAAAACATAATTGTTTTTTGGAACAATTTTGTTTGCGATAATCTAACGATAATAAATGAAAAACACATATTTTAATAAGCATAAAAAAACAACAAATTTTTTTATTGCTCTTCATTTAAAAAAGTTAAACTTTATATAAATCAGTTGCAGCATTTAGTTTCAGTTTCAATATTTAGCTTAAAAAACGGGTAAATTGGTAATTTTTTTTCTCTTTGCTATTAAGTAAACAATAAATCTTTTTTATCGTAAAAGATAATAATAACCATCGTTCTGTGATGCGTGCGTTTGAATGTCCCTTTTTTATATTTCTTCATTTCAATTAAAACAAAACTCTCAACTAACCTATTTAGCTAAATAAACAATTGGAGTTCTACAAAAAAGGAGGACAAAAAACTCGCATAAGTGTGTACTTTTATTTTGGTATCCATTTAATCGTGGTAGCAGTGTATATAGACTTTTTAGTGATCCGATACTAATGTGTATGTGCACACCCTTGTTTGTTTGCTAGTGCAGTCAATTGAGTCATTTAATTACTTAGGGTCGGTTGCATTGAATTTCCGCAAGACAGCTGAGCAAATTAAGGGGCTATCAGAGATAAGTTCGATAATCCACTACAAAATAATTTGAGCTGCCAATGCACACAAATACGATTTGCCAAAGCGAAGACGAAGTAAAAGTAAATAAAATGTACATACATTCACGCAGTTTGCTTAACGGATGAGGGCAGGATGGATAACTGACCAAAGAGGTGGCAATCGTTCTCCAATTGTCGACTGCCAATTGCCAATTGAATTGGCAGGACATCAAAATATTTACAAATAATACTTGATTGCCTGCAGGGCTGCTTGATGTCCAGATCGTTTTATTTTCTTTTCTTTTTTTGTAAATGTAATATATATAGTCCTATCGTAATAAATATGTATATATATATATATATATATATATATATATATGTAAATGTATTCTGGCACTCCACTAACCTGCGTTGACGTGAGACATATCACGTATACGCCATGTGCACACACACCACATAAAATTTCAATCAAAACAAACCTGGCTCCTAAAGAGCAATGGAAAAATCGAAAGAAAAAACGTTTAAAGCGTTTGTATAGGCAGCATTGAATGGGCATGTTTTATGAGCCAAACCAATGCGTACCGATTGCCATAAAGAGATTTGTGCCAAAAGCGATACCACCTAAGTGCTAACCTGTGTATATACAGGGTGCCTCGCCCACACTAAATCGAAATCCAAATCACATACTTGCATATAGTACTATATTTAAATATCAATAATTATTGTGTGTAATTTATGTTCATGCCTGTGCTGAGCGCTAGGGAAAATGGAAAAACAAGAGACAGCTAAATGTAGCTGGAGGGCTCACTTCCATATTATGAATATTCATGGACATAGTTGTCACTCGCATGTGTATATACTCGTATGTAGATGATAACGCTTGCAAATACACTTAGTGTGTAGATATATCTATGTGTGTGTATTTGTGCTTACAAGTAGCTTTGTGTGTCAAAGAGCTGAAAATGATTGTAGAAACGCTTCGTTAACGACAAGCTGCCCTCGAGCTGCTCACATCCTTTTCGGTTGCCTCGGCGCCATTCATAAATTCTTTAATAATTGTCGGAACCTAGGACTCGAACTTGAGTGCACAGCCAACCAACCGGACAGAATTATCTAATCTTTTATGAGAGAATTGTGCCCTGTGCAGGTAGGTGACTTCAATTAACATTCGTGCACGTAAACGCAATAACGCAAATGGATTCGGGCTTGTTTAATAAAATGCGATATTTATGGAGTTTACGGCTACGACGCCTCCGGACTGATAACAGAGTCGCGTTAATATGGCGACCAGCCAGTTATAATTTGTGCGGGGACGGGGTGAACGCGATGGACACTAGAATACAGTTTTGATATTAATATACTTGTGCAATATTTGACAATTAAAAATGAATGAGTGATGGCTCTGGGTCTCCAAAATGGACAACGATATTGATATTACGTATACGCGCTGTCATACATATATGGCAACTCACAAAATATGATGCGTGGGGTGGCCAATTTATTTTAGTGCGTGCGTATGCACGTGGCAAGTGATACCTGAAAGCCATCTACTGCAATGGAATAGCTGGCCTACGCAAATGTGCCTGTTGCATTTACAACGTTGCACCAATTATGAGGGGATTACAGTTTCTCGGCGCACTTTACTTCACAACTGTAGCTAGCTTGCACTGACATTGATGGGACTCCGAATAGGGGCATTTCTAACAGTGCACTTGAAATGCGTTCAACCAGCAACTGTTATTCCAGCACACTAGAATACCAATGTCAAGGACTACCATTCCTCTATCCAAGAGTATCTAACGCATGTTTGTGTTGTGCTATTGAGTGTCGGGTACGGGGAAAAAAGGGCCTTTACTCTGCCTATATACTATTTAAGTACTTTTCCTATATGCATGTCGTTTACTTGTGGCAATCAAATCCAGCTTACTCCCTGCAACACGTCCCTGATGCAGCAACCACTCTGCCGCATTTATGCGAGGATTAAAATTGTTTTGAGCACTTCACTATACACCGAAAAAACATGCTCTAGATTTTAGAAACGCCGCAATTACATTTTTTCGTTTTTCAACGGCTTTTTGAGAACCCGTAAAAGTAATTCTTCGTTGTTAGATTTTTGGGCAACTCGTGAAAACAAATTGATTTTAGATTGCGTTAAATTAAGAAAAGTGTGTATTTTGTCCTGAGACATATAGTTCTTAGATTTACTTATAATTCTTAAATATTTTCAGATTTGTGAGAGAGCCGCTTTGAAACAATACAATATAAAATCTTCAATGCAAACCGATTTTCAAAATAAAAATGATTAATAGTTGCTTGTGTAAATTTAGAAAAATACATTTTCGCTTTGTAGAAAATATTCATTAATTTTTTCATAATTTGCGAAACTCGACTTGTCCAATAGTAGGGCCATCTGCCATTAGATGCGAGGATTTTTAAAGCGATTTAGTGTATTTATTTTTTTGAGTGTAATTTGACTAAAACTTGAAGTTGTAGTTGCCATTGAATGTTATTGGAGGCCACTTGTGGCATGTCTGTGCATAATTCAGAGCCTATCCTTATGCGGCTAAAGTTTTCATATGCGCTTTTACGCCTACAGGTATTTAGTGATTCCAAGTAGACAACAGCATCAAGTTCAAGGATTATCATTATATTACACAATTCCTGCATTCACTACATTTTCGAATTGGCTAACATTGGCTGGTGCCCTTAAATTGGAACACGTTCCAATTGTGTTTATAGCGTATACTAATGAGTTGGTATTAAGGTATTTCAGAAGAATATTTGAAAGCTTTACATGATGTTATGTGATAGGATAAAATACATATGTGTTTGAAATCAACAATTAAATTAAACACAAATGTAAATAAATTGCAGTAAATGCACTAATCTAAAATTAATAAAATAAATTGCATGTTTTTTTGCTTGTAATTAATTTAAAATACAATTTAAATTGCAAAATTTTATCAAAGTTCATATAAATGCAATATGGATATAAATATGCATGTTGATTGCATGTAGGAATGGTATCCTGTAACACACTGCGAAGACGCCTACGACCACGTGCCTGTTTCATCAACCACTTTGCGGCAATTACGATGAGGATTACAATTGTTTTCGCTTTACACGCAACTAAAGTGGTTGTTGTTTCCACAGACATTGACCGTAGGCTGTTGAGCGGCATACCCGGACATAAATTAGATAGAGACTGGGTATCAGAGTGGGTAAGAGTGTTGGTGGAGGGAATAATGTTTACCTTTGCTCCGCCTGGAGGTGCACTTGAGTTGTGTTAATCCAACAACTGTCAGGTGGTGTCGAGTGGTACCTAATCCTATTAGATGTTGGTGATGCTGTTGTGCCGCTCGTTGAGTTCGTTCTATTTACTTTTTTTCTTCGGTTCCTTACACTCCTTAGACGCCTGCTGGCATTGAATTATTCGTATTTAAATGCGTGCAGTAATTTCAAATGAAATTTGAATATTTTATGCCACACTCAAGAAATTTACTTTTACATATATTTTTGTACACACACACAAACACAAACACCCGCAAAGAAAGGCGCATTAGAAATTACGGCTATAACATTTGCTGCTTGAGCTGCCACTGTGGACTCCTTTCATATATTTTTTATTGAATAAAAATTCAAATTAAACACACTTTACGCTCACTGGTCTGATTCAAAACGGTCGCGCGCGCTTCGCAGGCTTGCAATGGAAACGCATTACAATGGAAATTATCAGAAAAAGCGAAACAAACGCGATGCGATGACGAGATGTGTGTGTCCTGCAGAAGATGTACCGTATGATGGCAACAACAACAGTTGTCACACTCACTGTTACTTTAACTCCCACTGTTAAGTTCACTGTAAACGCCGCGAGCCGTGTGCTCGTCTGCTCGCCTGTCTGGCCAACGGCGCAATGATGACGCCGCCTTCTGTGCGAAGTGCCTTTTGCGAGAGCAGCAAAGCCATTGAGGCGCGTATCAGCAGCAGCAGCAGCAGCAGTGCTACCCCTTTAGCCATTTTCCCACCAGTTATGCAGCTTACGAAATGCCGATTGATCGTAAAAGTTACTTACTTGTAGCTGGTGGTTTTAGAACTTTAAAGCAAGTATGTACTACAAAAAAGGCCAGATGGTCAGATCTATGGTATATCACTATATCATGTGGCAAACAGCTTACGAATTTTCGAAAATAACTGGAACGTATTGATCTTGTAAATACAATTTGTTTTAAATTGTGGCTTTTAAATTTTATTTACACCAATGAAACCGAATAATTATCGGGGATTGTGGCTTGTTTCAATATAACAGCTATTTTGACGCCTAAGACTTGGCAACACTGAGCAGCAGGAGCAGCGCTCGCTGATAACGAACCGAACAAGCAAGCGGCAAGCGCTTCGTCAACGTTCGCACTTGCGAGAATGTGTGTGTGCTTCTGCGTTTATTTTCATTCATGCATTGCGAAGAAAGCTTTCGAAAGCTCAGTTGCGGAAGCTGACAACCTGTTGCCGACTATATTGTAATTGTAGTTGCTGCTGCTGCGACTCCTATGGTGCGCAGGATGCTGACAGAGTTGCCACACAAGCGTTGGACCTCTTCTCTGTTGACTTTGTGCGGTTGGTGCTGTTGTCAGGGCAATGACAACATAAATGACAACATAAATTAATTAAATTGATGTTTAAATCTTTTGTTAGTGTGTGTCTGTATGTGTGTGTGTCCTGAGCCTACAACGTGTCGTGCAACCAAATGAATGACATGAATCTCATTGTTGCCACTCCTAATGGAACCCAAAATATAGCACATATTTGAGGGCCTGAACGCTTTCTTGGTTTATTGACCCGTCTAGTGCACATGTACATTTGTATGTCTATATATATACATACATATGTATATGTATTTATATTTGTATCGGAGTATGTGTGTATGGCGCCTTGGCCATGTCATGAGGCGGCATGTGACATATTGACAAATTAGAAAAATCAAAGAGCAATGCATAGCAGACGCGGTAAAAGTCAGATAAGCGACGGATGCTGGGGAAAGTTGGGGACTGCTGGGGGCGGTGCGCATGAATTGATTAATGCGTATGGGCGTCTAGTCCATGTATGCCGCAGCAGATGCTGACAACCGCTCGGATTGTTAATTTTATTTGATTTAAATCGAGCGTGAGTCAGGGCGCGAGCCAGTTGACCAAAAGTCGGGGACACATGTTGTCCTGATGTGCCCCGAATGTGTGTTTGTCGATTATTATTGCTTTTTGTTTGCCAACAAGCGTCACGAGAAAAGGGCTCTGCGCTGAATTGGCATAACGCTCCAGTAGGTGCATACAAAGAATCAACAGTGGAATTTGCCAGACAGCAATATTACTTGAACCAAAGTTGTTTGCAATCCATTAGATATTCCCTCAACTTTCAATCAAATAAGTGCAGAACTCTAAATTATTAATGTTTGTTTTTAAAGTATAATTTATAAAACATGTATATTTTGAATAATTCAAACTTTGAAAAACAAAAACTTTTCGGGACAATTATTAACTTGTATAGATTCTTAAGATACTATTTATTGTATGCGAATTGTGAATTTAAATTATTATAAGGGTACTGTCTTCCTATAACATTTTTATTTGAAGCCAAATACTTATTATTCCTTGCGGGTTCTTAAGTTTTATAAAAACACATTTAAGCTATAAAGGACTCTGCCGTAACAAATTCTAAAATTGTAGATATGACAACGATGAACAATTCTGTCTTTTAACTTTTTTAATATTAACTATATTTTTACTACATTGCGAACTTATTAAAATAGTTTGGGCGATTCTTCTTCTAGCAAATAGTTTATTATTAATTGTATTCTTATCTCTTCATTTATCTGATGACAATTGAGGGTTAATTAATAATAAGCTTACATATACCTTAACACTCTGCGTGGGATAACTTAGTATTCCTAAAATTAATGATTAGTTGTAACAAAAAAAATATAGCCGCTGTCAAAAATTCGGAAGTTTTAGTTCAAGGTACGAAAAACTGAGCATGCCATTAAGCTGTCTAGTAATAATTAGTTAGACGATAAGTTGTTCAGGTATATGTATAGTATGTACATAGTTTAATAATTACTGTACATTTTGAAAACATTATCAGAATAAATTTAGAGTTAGCTTTATGCGATTTCTACAGTGTTTATAATCTATGCTAACGGCTTATCGTTATGGCCAACAAGCCAAGTTCATTGTTTGGCCTGACTCTGGCTTGTTGCCTATTGCCCTTGGTATGCTTTGGTATGCTTTGGCATGCTCTTGTATATCTGCGGCTTGTCCTGGATGGTTGGTGGTGGGTGGTGGGAGGTGTCGGAGAAGGCAAAAGAAAACTCAAAGGCAAAGTTCAATAGTTGAACGCAAGTTCAGTAACCAAAGCCAACAAGTGGTTACGTCGCAGACAAAGTTGCCGCTTAGGCTGACAGCCAAATCATATAAAAATCTACATGCGTGCATACATACTATATACGAGTATACTATATATACTCGTAAATAACATATGTATACATATAGATTATTTGTACAATACTGTAAAAATATTGACATTTCGACAGCCAGCAGATATGTAACTAAAATATCGAAATATCTGCTGCAATCTGTGAATAAATTTAATTTTCAAGTGCGCCTAAAAGCGTGCAGCATTAAATGTACAATTGCAAATTGTGTTTGTTGCTTTTAGCTGTTTCAGATGTGTGTGCTTATATATGTACATATGTATGTATGTATATAAATATGTATGTGTGCAATGACTTTCGTATTCACCATTTCAGTAATTTGTTATTCAAACACATTTCGAATCGATTATCCGCTTGGCATACTCTTCCTCCAATCGGGCAAATATGTTGATTGACTTTTGTCAAGGCTTATGTCAATGAGCTCGACTGCCTGTTGTCTGTGCCTATGTATGTATGTATCTGTGTCAGTGTCTGTGAAGCGCCGACAGCTTTTGTATTCAGCCACATAAAGGAAAATTTAAATGTACGTGTGCGGTTGAGTGTTTATTGGCACGCATGGATGGAAGATGCCAACACAACTACAAATGAGGAAACGCGTGAAATCAAGCGAACCAACGCATACACACACACACAATAAGGCATGGCCCCCAGCTTTTTACCCCAAACAATGTGGTGTACCTTCCCATGTGCCAATGCTACGCACCATATGTATACATATACATATGTATGAGTATATATCTTATAAATATGTGGAACTACTGATAACGTAAAACGAGAGGTCGCATCGTCATTGAAGCTCCATTATTACACACTCATACACTACACACAAAGGCACCACACAAATTGTGCCACACTGCAGCTTTAAATGCCAACCAGCCAACGAGTCGCTTGACATACCAAGCCCCAAGGTTCTGTTTAAATATTTCACACATACATATGTACATACGTATACTATACATTTGTCGGAACTAGGTTAAATCATCTGGTTGCTATGCTAAAAAAATTAAATTCTCGGTAAACCTTTAAAGACAGCTGAATAAAGTGAGAGTTAAGCCCCAACTAAAGTATTCAAAGCACAAGTTGCGTTTCAATGTCAGCACACCTGGGTCGACAATCTGCATGAGCCTTCATAGGCACGGGGTGTGTGTACACAGACACACACACACATACACATACAGACACATAAAGAATTGTAGCCGTGGCAAACTTGTTGAATTGAATTGATTGCAATTTTAATGTCTAAATTCAATGTTAAGGTGCAAGGACATTAATTAAGAGCCAGCAAACGGCAGCCAGGCAGGTAGGTATGCAACAGGCTGACAGCTGGCTGTATAAATGAGTCGCCATTTCAGCTGATGTGTGCACTGAGCACTAATTTATAGCGATCTATAGGTTAATTAAGCAAATCAATAAAAACGTATAGACACGAAGATAGATAGGCAACGCGTTGGATAGATTAGCGTACAGATATTTATACAACATAGATATACAAAAATAACAAATTAGGCAATACTAGAACTTGTTTAATAAATGGGACATTCATTTGAGGGTTCAATGAACACAAAAGTAGATACATAGCAGTCGTTCATTCAGAAAACTTAGATTGAATAGACGTTACCAAATTTAAGGATTCCAAATGGTGAAAGGATATGCAAGAAAGTATATGGACATAGGCACATTACCAAATTTAAGGATTCCAAATGGTGAAAGGATATGCAAGAAAGTAGAGATGGACATGGGCATGGGCGGCTTTTTTCGAACCGACACGACACACCAGTCCACAATCGGAATAAGAATTACGAACACATACAGTGCCCAGATGGACCAAGCAAAATCAAATAGTACAAACACGACCCCATATTTAAGGTAGGTACATGATCAGCTGACGAGATATAGACTGTCCATCTATCCGTCCATTTGAACACAGAGAACTTGTAAGGAATTATCGCCAGAGTCAACCAAACTTGGTTTATATCTATATAAATACGTATAGCCTCTTTTTCTATATAGCCCCCATTTTGGAATTTTTTATTGTAACTTACTTTGGTCATATGTATGTTTTATCAAAATCGGGTAGCTATATAATATATCTAAGGGTAAGAAAATGGAATCATCGAATTTAAATATCAGTATTTTTAATCAGCAAAAAAGAAAAAAATGTTAACAAAAATGCAAACAATTAAAAGTACATAATCTGCAAAGCAAGTAGTTTTCTTACTAGCTTTACAATATTTTCAACTTCATAATGCAAGATTCCAAAATCCAAATATCTAATTTTGGATTTCGGTGTTTTTTTCAGTGCAAGTTTGAATTGCAAATTGAAGTGTCTCTGATTGCGTTGCAAGCCAGCCAAGTGGCGCGCATATTAATTAGGGAGAGTGCAATAAATGCCGCACGTATATTAGTTGGTTGCCTGATAAACGTAGCAGCTTTATGCAAATGGTGTACAGAGCGTGTTTTTTGTAAGCAGGCAGAAATGCACTCTTCTATTTATACTTACCAGGATAAAATGCCATTGCCAATAGCTCATGCATAAATATGTCAATGTATTGCATGGATAATATATGAAATATGATATGCAGGAATGGTGAGGCGGGACACGTGGAGACAAACAGCTTGCAAGGACAATTATGTTAAGTATGACAAATGGGTTGTGTTGGAGGGCGCACACCAAGTTCTTTTATAATTGGCAGGGTTTTTGAGCTATTTATTTTCGATTAATGAATCCACATTCACATTTGAACCGCTCAACAACAAGCAAATAATTGCTTCCCAATTACTGCTTTCACATTCAAATTACTGGAACTAATCGGGCATAATTTATTGAACAAATTACTACATTATTTAAAGACAAATGTGAGATTTAAAACCGCAACTTGTATGCCCTTGCAACTTCTTGAATTTTACATAAAATATAAATTTTTGACGCCTTGTGGGAGATTGTCTTTATGGCGGCTAAATACACATAATAATCAGATTTACCATATTTGGTGGTACCAATTTTAGAGTACAAAAATAATAGCCTTTCTTGCAGATCAACATAAAAACATGCAAGTAGATATAGAGCAGTAAGTTGCAAAGGTATTTAAAAATAACAAGTTCAAGGTTTACTTAACTACCTACAACAAAAGCTGGTGACACCAGCAATTGGACAAACTGGAATCTTTTTAAATACATAAGACAAAGTTTTCTTTTACGCCTTTTTAAGTGACTTTAAATGCTGCTGCAGTTGCTCGGAGCGCTGGCACTCACGCGTCAGCTGTTTAACAGCAGCCGCATATTGACGCTGCAATTCAAGCAGAGACTGAAGCTCTTCGTTGAGTTCATCGCGCTTTAGACGCTCTTCGTTGTACTTATGTCGTACTTTGTCATGAGCACTCTTAACTCCATCGACGATTGCTTCGAATTGCTTGATAAAATCTTCCCGACCATGCTGGCTCAGCATGCCTTCGTTGTAGGCTTCGCAAATGGAATTCAGGAGCGAGAGCTCTTTCTCCAGGTACCGCTTCTTATCATTAAGTGTGTTGTAAAGCGTGTAATATTGTTTGGTCTCCAAGTGTTTGGCACTCATTTCGTTGTAGAGTTCGTGAAACCGGCGCTGGTACTGTGAAAGCTCTGTACGATCGGGTATTGCATCCAATTTTCGTTCAATAGCAACTATGCCGCGATTCCGCTTGGCCAACTGCAGCCGCAATTCCTTTAATCGCAACTGTTCGCTTGTTACGGCAGCGGCTTGCTCCTCCGGCTCCTGTGCATTAAATGCTTCTAGTTCGCTGCAATACAAATCGTGCTTTAAATAGACATTTTAAGCAACGTATTATTCTAATTTACTCAATTTCTTGCTGCAAGTTTGCCAAATCATTGCGACATTTCTCTTTGAACTCAGTTTCTCCTTTTTTTAACTCATCATGCTGATGCAGCAGGGTGCGCACCTTTTCTAAGAGCCTAGTTTATACAAATTAGATAGATAGATTGGGTATTTTACTCTACATACGTGACATCTGCATTTGCCTCTGTCTGCTTATGTGCCTCGAGCTCCGCTTTTAACGTCTGAAGTTTTTGCTCTTGCTCAGAAGTTAGCTTTTGTTGCTCATCGGCAGCTAATGCCAACTGCTCATTTTCTCTATTGTAACGCTTGATTTTGTGTTCTAATGCCACCTGAGCAGCCTCCAATCGTTTCTGTTGATTTTGTGATGCCAGTTCCATAGGGTCGGTTTGCATTTCCAGTTTAAAATCGGCATAGTGCTGGTGCAATGCATTACGCGCACTCGGATCAAGGTCTATACGTTTTAACTGCCGCAAAGGCGAGTGCTGCCGGAAAAAATCGAGTCAGTAAATATGAATGAAATATGCATTTTTTTCACTTACCTCTTTAGTGACCGAAAGATTTTTAAGTAGTTGTTCAATACTTGGCTAAATAATAAAGAAAATTATCTTTCACCTTTTTAACACGAAAATAGTCATGATATCACCTCAGTATCTACCAGTTGACTGTCGTTTAGTGTTTTAGACGAGAAATCCATATCGCCATACTCCAACAGCGTTAAACGTACGCGTAGCAGATCGTCTGTACCAGCTGCCTCTTTACGCTCGTATTGCCTTTTAGGACAGTAGATGTCCTGCCCATAAACATAAACATTATACATAAGTATTTAATATTGCACTTTTACAAAATAAAAGTTACCAACCTGTATAGTTTTAATATGTACGGAGGCATTGCGTATTTTTGTTAAATTGTCCTTATCAGTTTTATACTGATAATGATTGTGAAATTGACCAACTGCGAACCTCTTTAGGCGCTGTCCCCGCTCCTCTCGATTTTCCACCTAATAACATGTTTAAGTTATGGCACAACAATGTTTAATGATGAAGCAACTTACGGACGTCTTGACCAGCCACTGTATAACAGGATGAATAGCAATAAACTCCAGGCCCTGTATCTGATGAGGCTCTAAACTGAAGGGGCAACTCATTTCTGGCAAAACGGCAACAATTTTCTCTACGAGCGCGCTGTACACAAATAAAGCGAACTATATTATTGATATATCTATTAATGCAGCAACAGCAATACACACATTTTTTGGCCTATAGTTAGGTTTTCGTGAAAAAGTAAATCCACATCCACGTCATAGTCGCAGCACTCAATACACCATGTCATGCCACCTACGACCTTGTCGAAGGCCGATAGTCCCTTTATACGCGCGCGGTAGTATCCGGCTGCTACGAGCATATCAAATGTGTCCTGCTCCTTGGCGACGGCATCCGAGTCTTCACGTCGTTCCACCTAAAGCGCAACGAAAAACTTCAATGTTGACTTACTTCTTAATAACGCAAACTTACCTGAACTTCTTTGCCTTCGGCGTCATATCGGGTTGCCAATTTAACATTTGGCAATATCTTGGAGAATACATCACGGTTCGCCATGTACTTACAATTAGGACTATAATTTTAAATGCATTTACTTTTAGTTCTATTTGTTTAGCTTAATGAGTTAGCGTGGTCGCGGTTTGCGGGCTATTAATTGCTTGCAGGTTGACAACATGAAATGTACGCCCCAAAGCTTATAAGCAAAACAAACACAAATAAATAGCGAAAAAATCAACAAACTCGCTGGTTTCTTTTCATCAGGTGTTCGACTGTTGGCCAGTTCAATCGGGCGAATTTAGAGTTGCCACACTGTTATGCCGGCTTAGGAGGAGCAATATGTGGGCTTGAAAGTCTCGTGAATGTCGTGACATGTGGTAGCTGTTTTAAAATTAAATGTACTTCAGCGAATTGTAGCAAATATTTAACAATTATCAATATATTTTAATATCTAGTATAGATTTTTTAATAGCTGAATATGTAATGACTGAATATTCGGTAGCTGCGAACGGGAATTGATAAGTACTTGTAAGGAAACTATTGAAGTCTTTTTAGTATCGCTCACCTCTAGTCCAACCGGCAAGACACATTTTTCGTATTTGTGCTCTTGCACTTACAATACAACCAGATATTTTTGATCACTTAAAGTTACAAATACAAAATGAGCTATTACGTTTGCTTGCATCAGGAAGGCATTAACAGCATTCCCGGTCTGGTGAAAAAGGGCTTAGCTCACAATTACACTGTTGTTGCAACGTCAGTAAACCCAAACACATTGCCTTTCGACCCATTTGAAGACGATCCGACGTATCCAGGAACGCTTCTCAATGCTGTGGAGTGGACTTCAAGGATTATTCTCATACTGTCTGATGTTGCTATCGACTCCCCTAATGCCAAGGTTCGTGCGCAAGCCGAGCGCATTCTGATGCGAGATATCACATGGGCGGAGCACCTGCAAACCAATGGCAGTGTAATGGTACGCCTGCGCGGCCCAAAAAACAAGCAACTAGCAGAGATCATTAAGGGGAGAACGAAGGGTAACTGGTTCATTCAAGTGCCCATCACCAATCCAGAGCTGGGTACCTTTGAACATCGAACAGATGCAACAGATGAGGAAGTGAGCCAGGCTGAATCCATCGATCCATGGAGCTGGTGGAACGATTTTCGTTTCGAAATGGATCATAGCTCAAAGGTAAAAGTGGTGCTCGATCTTAGAGATTCGGATCGGCCAAGTCGTGAGACCGTGCGACGATGGCTTGGCGAGCCCATAGAGGCTGTCATGATTCCCTCTAGTCTGTTTGTGCGTAATCGCTACAATTACTTTGTACTGCACGGGGAGTGGCAGGTCATAATAGGACATTTTATTGCCGCGCGTGCTAAAATCATAGTCTCTGTAAATCCCACTGATAAATCGTTGTTACAATACGCGGACTATATGAATAAATTGATAAATGACAACTGTGATTCTCACAACTTAAACAGGTAAACTATAAATACTCTCTTAATATTGCTCAATATTTTATAGTTTTACGTTTTAGTTACGAAAATGCACTGGAAATCCCGCTACAGCCACTTTGCGATAACCTGGACTGCTGGACTTATGAAATATTTGAAAAAGATCCTGTAAAATATAAACTTTATCAGGAAGCCATACAAAAGGCTCTGCTCGAATGCGTTACTGACGAAGAGGCTGACAAAAAGTTGGTAAGCATTTAAATTAAGTATTTGAGCGTTTAAAAAAACAGATTAATTTTTAGACAGTGGTCATGGTTTTGGGAGGCGGACGAGGCCCACTGGCTCGTGCCGTTTTTAACGCTGCTGACCTGACCAAAAGAAAAGTACGCGTCTACATAATCGAAAAGAATGTATGCGCGATTCGCACTCTATCGAACATGGTGAAGACATTGTGGCCAAAGAAAGGTAAAATATTTATCCTATACTGGTATTCATGTATTTAATTTATTTTATTCTTTAATTGCAGATGTCCACATATTTTCAAAAGATATGCGCCATTTCTCACCGCCAGAATTGGCCGATATTCTTGTATCCGAACTGCTGGGCTCTTTCGGAGACAACGAACTTTCGCCGGAATGTCTTGATGGCGCCGCTAAGCTCCTCAAACCCAATGGAATCAGCATACCCTGCAAGTCAACGTCCTATATAAATCCGCTAATGTCTGCCGTGTTGCACAACAATGTGGAACAGTTCAGTGGTGTTGTATCCGCCTTTAATTATGGATATGTGGCCCTGTTGAAGAGCATTTACCATATTGCCGAGCCGCAGACACTCTTCGAATTTACGCATCCGAATAGGACTGATCAAATAGACAACTCGCGTTACAAAGAGCTTTCGTTCACTGTTAGCAAGGACTGTGTATTGCATGGAATCGGCGGATATTTCGATACAGTTTTGTACGAAAACATAATCCTGAGCATCAATCCACTAACCCACACGGAGGGAATGTTTTCATGGTTTCCCATGTTTTTCCCCACACATCCGCATACTGTGAAAGCTGGCGACACAATTTCAATCAAGTTCTGGCGCCGTGTCGATGCCGAAAAGGTCTGGTATGAGTGGCAAGTTTGTTCACCTTTTGAAGGGTGTGTGCACAATGTGGATGGCACGGGCTACAATATGCGTTTGTAGACTGCAATACTACGATATAGACACAAACACAATAGTTTTAAAAACTATTTGCTTCCAAAAAACCATTCAGATACCCATACTTAAATGGAACTAGGGCATGCACAGATTTAACTGAAAATCTGCGGCATTAATTGTCTGCGACTTTTATTTAGGTTTATATTTGAAAACTTTATAAATATCCTTAAAAGTAAAGTATATGTCCTTAAATATCTGTGGGTTTGTAAAATTTAGTTCATACATAATTTCCTTTTTTCCTCTGTTAATTATATTTAAAGCGATGCACATGATCGTGTTTATGCTAATTGTTTTTAGCGAAAACAAAAGATATTCTTTAAGCAAAAGGCAATTAATTTAAGTATATATTATGTATATTTCATTTAGGTTAAAGCGGATTTTAAGACATTACATCCAACTGGGCTGTGGTTCAGGCCAATTGCATACGAATTGCGGCGACAAGAAAACTTGCGATTGCATTTAGGAGTTAACAGAGCTAGTTGGAGGAGTTATGGGACCACCGCCAACAGCACCACCACCCCTAATAGCGATGGCGCCCTGGCCAGCCCGAATGGGTTTTGCAATTTGTGCCTGGGGACCACGACGGCCGAGATGCTTTTGTCTGACAGCCTCCTTGATGCGATCAACCTCATACTGATATCGCTTACGATCCCGCATGGCGCCTTCCTTCGCCTCTTTGAGCGCAGTCTCCAGCGCTTTGACACGTTCCATGGTCGTGCGCAGTCGTTTCTCCAGCTTGGGCAGCTCACAGCGCAAATCGGCATTGTCCCGCACCAGCTGCTTATGCACCTTTGTTAGCTGATCGAGATTGTTTTCAAGGAAGGAAATCTTCTGCTTCTGCGCTAAAGAACCACCATCCTCCTCGCTTTCCTCATTCACAACGTTTTTCCGTATGCGTTGCTGTATGGGAATTATGATGAATCAATATATACCCATGGTTTTCATTTCAATATTACTCACCTGTAGATCTTGCACGAAAAGTTTGCGCAGATTGTGTAACGTTTGCAACTCCTTGGCCACGGTATCTTCCAGGCCCTTGAGGTCTTTGCGGGCCTGTTCGCGCCGCTCGTTGGTCATAATGATGTCTTGCAGTTTGTTCGATTTCTCAGCCTCTTCCTGTTTCACCTTCTCGTAGTCGACGGTCATTTGTTGATGCGCCAGGAGCAGCTTCTGGTGCACGTCCTTCATCTCGTTCATTTCATGTTGCTTAGCGACAATTTCATCGCGCAGCTCCGACACCTGTTTGGTATGTGCTTCGCGCAGTTCGTCCATCTGCGAATCGAACATGGATCGCAGTTCCTCGGCACGCTGTTTCTCCTCGGCATTTACTGCGGACACATGCTCGGCAGCTTTCAGCTTGGCGCACTCCTCGCGCAACGAGTCGATTTGTTCTTCTAGTGTGCGCTTCTTATTTTCGGCCTCTCGCATCGATTCCTGCAGGGACTTCATACGCGCCTCATGCTGTGATATCAGCAGACGGTACTCACCCAAATCTTTCTCATATTCGGAAATCTTTTTGTTGGAGTCTACTTGGAGGGACTCCATATTAGCACAGCGCTGTGCAATGTTTTTCGCCTCTGTCTTCATCTTGCTTATGTAGAGGCGAGCCATGGTGAAGTCCTCCTCCACCTTGCTCGAATCGGTGCCCGCCAAGGCGCTCATCTTTAGATCGATTGCACTGTCACCGGGCGCTATTGCCTGTCCTACCTCGCCGAGATCACGTAGCAAATTGGTCAACATCTCTGTAATCCGCTTCTTCTGGTGTGTTGACATGTCCTTTAGTTGCTGCAACTCGGTTGACGTTGTGTTAAGCAGGGTCTGTTTTTGTTGCACCTCCTCGTTTAGCGCATCGATATCCTTGTTCTTGTTATCTATTTCTTGAGATTTTTGATCGTAGTTGACAGCCAGTTCCTCGAGTGCCTGCAGCACTTCCTTGACCTCTTCCTTTGCGGACTCGTTCTCCTGCTGTATGCGCGCCATTTCTGATTGCAAAGCTTCATATTCGCGACGAGCATTGGCAATCAGCTCCTCCTGTTCCATCACCTGTTCTTTAAGCTGCTCAGCATACTGACTCTGCTGGTTAATTTCCTCGTCCTTGTCATCCAACTGCTGATACAAACGCTCGCATTCTGTGGCAAGTCGAGCACGTTCGTCGGCAGCCACTGAGGCCGACATATTGGCAATAGCCGTTCGATTTGCTGCAGCGGCGGCAGCTGCTGCATTGGCCGCCTGCGGCGCTTCAACTTCAAGATTGGGCGTGCTGGCCTCCATGAGATCCTCCATATTGATTTGCTCCTCTGCCTTAACCGTTTCGCCGGCACGCCAACGAGCCAATTCCAGCTCTAGCTTTTCCACTTTACCCTTAAGGCGTGCATTCTTCTCCTTCTCTTTTTCGTAGCGACGTTTCCACTCTTCGGCGGTGAGCTCCTCGTTCACGCATACCACATTCTTGACTGTCTTCGCACGACGACCGAACTCCAGCGTTGATTTCGTCTCCGACTCATTGAAACTAGCTGGTGAGCAGCAAATAACGATTGTTGTGCGTGCGTTGCCACCAAGCGACTCCTGAAGAATGCGCGTCAGCTTTGAGTCACGATATGGTATGTGCGTTTTATTGCCATCAGCCAGAGCCGAGATGACGTTGCCCAGCGCTGACAACGATTTGTTTATGTTCTTTGCCTCGTCCAACACCGTGCCCTCGGCTCCTGTCTTTGAAACTTTTTCCGAACCTGCCAAATCGACCAAATATAATTTGCCAGACAATTTCTTTTGATTCTCCAAGTTCTCCTGCTTCACGTTGATAAGGAATACTGAATGAGAGCGCGAAGAGTGTTCGTTCATGTCTGCAAATGATGACAAAATAGATTTAATAAACATATTTTTGTTTAACATATGCATATGAAAACAACAAACACTTACTTGTAACTGCAATGTGTCGATTGGATTTTCCCTCTTCGATTACCTCAAAAACATCTTCAGGTGAAGAGACGAAACGTTCTGTTGCACCTTTTACGTACGGCACCCTGTTCTTGTCCTCGTGCACGCTCAAATTTATTTTGGACACATCAAGTAAATCTCGAATTTTGTCCATATAGATTTCATAGTATGAAACCTTTATGTGGAATTCAAGGTTCACTTCCATCGTATAGATGTGGTTGAAGATGTCGTTGACAATACGCGGAATTATGCCCTGCTTCACCGAGTCACCAATGACGCCCTCCATTGTGTGCGTTTTTCCGGACGATGTCTGACCGTAGGCAAATATCGTGCCATTGTAACCGGCCAGGACGTCTGTGACAATGGACTTGGCGGCTTCATTGTATACCTTCTCCTGCGAGGCGTTCGGCTTGAAGACTTTGTCGAATAGATACACCTTGCCCTAGAAATTAAAGCCAACATCAGAAACTGCTGCAAACCAGAGAAATCTCTTAAATTTGCGTGTACAAATGCTACACACACATGACTTAATAGTATTTAACGCTTGGCAAAACGTTGGCAACCGCGCCGACAACTGACAGTAATTATGAGTGGAAGTTGAAAATGTATATAATGATGAATAACAAGCAACAATAGAAATAAGCAGCAAGAAGTGCATGTATGTGTGTGTATAACGAAAACAACGAAAACTACTCGTGCGTTTTCTTAAGACAGTTTCCCCCTCAAACTTTGTAGTTGTTGTCTAATGAACACTCATATAGATGAATGTATGTACATATGTATATGCATATATATGTATATATGAGGTACATATAAAAGGGGGCAACAATTTTCAAGACAGTCGGACTCTGGGCATTAAGATAAATAACCAAATTGAACTAAATATGTAGGTATTCCGTCATCTACATACATACATATTTACATGTATGTATGTGTATTTAGCATGTGGAATTTGCTTGAAAATGAGTGCTAAAGTGTAAATCGGTATAGCTGTTGGGACATGCGTTCAATCTATGTATATGGATCAGGCTATCGTGGGGGTAGCCCGTGGGGGCACAAAAGGTGCCATAACCACATTGATATTTTCTTTTTTATTGCTTTACTGTTTGCGTGCATGAGTCATAAGTCGAGTCAAGGCGGCATTTGGTGGCACGGTGGTTTGCTTTGGGGGCAGAAACAGACACCAATACAATGTATGTATATAGACATTGATAAAATCATGTTGGGCGTTACAGGTACAAGCCATACTCATTCATATTGCTATTTCAAGAAAGTACACTATGCAAATTATGTTGATTTGCAATAAAAACAAAAAACTTCTGTGGCATTGCTTCACATGCCAAGTGTCTTTGTTACTGTTTGCTCGCTTGTGGGTGGGTGGTGCTCAATGTTTTTTTACACACCCTGTTATTGAGGCGGCACTCTCTTTGCTAGCTAAAATGTGTGTATGGGAAAATCAATTTTATGTGCCTTTGGAGTTGTTTTTGCTGTTACACTGCTGGAGACTCCTTTTAAACAAAAAACCGAAACACGTACAAAAGCAACTGCAACAATAATTGCACAATAACGAACGATATAAAGCGCTAATTACTGCTGTTATGTTTTGTCTACTCTCTTTCGCTGGCTAACTGCTACGTTTCAATTGGTAAAGGGTAATGTACGCTAATGTTAGGCATGACGTCACCGCAGCCCGTAACTTAATGCATAACAAAATATCTGTACACGATTTCTACACTCGATTTATTAGTCCAATATACAATGTACTATATGTATATAATTTTTAATAACTTTACCGCAATGGATATGCAATTCTCCTCCGCACTATTTGGAAATTTCACTACAAATTTGGAGCCGGCCTTCTCCTCGCTGTCGTTCAAAGGACGAAAACGACAGACGACTTTGATGCTGTCCTCAGCGGGTATTTCGCGTTCGGCAGACATTTTCACTTAGTCCCAGGTACTCTTTATAATGAATGTTTTTTAAATTGCTTTCGACTGGGCTTATGTTAAGTAAAGATTTCGATTAATTCAGAATAAGAAAAGCAAATCGCGTACAGCTGTTTACGTGGTAATGGTTGTTTGCGAAATCGAGCTCTGTTGTTTATTGTTACGATTTACTTCAATTGAGCATAAAGTAAAAGAAACCACGATGACGAAGCCACATGCACCAACTCCAACTTTTAGATATAGCGCGTTCTCAGATTTTCTTAGTCGTCGTTGCCGTCGCGAAAATTGGGCAGAGAAAATTTTGTGGTTATAAAGTCAGCGACTCGAACACGACGTTGCTTGGGCCTTTTTGACACTTGCATAAGCCCGGAATGATGAGCAGTACCAGCGGACGCTAAATGCACGTGCATGCAATGTGATTTGGAATTTGCCGTACTTTATAAATATTGTAAAAAAATTTTTTGCCTAATTTTCTACCCGACGAACGTGTATCCCAAATGTTGTATGTGTTGGTTTTATAGAGCAGAAATCTATCGATGGCGCGATAAGAAAATATCGGTATTATCGTTGGTTTCTTAACAATCGAAGAACTAGACCATTTTTTGCAAAAACAACTGCACATATAAAGGGTTTCACAATATTTTAACATTCTTTGCAGAATTTGTTTTACCACTTTTTTCGCAGATGTCCTTAAACTGTATTTAAGTCAAATTTTTAGTTTTAAAATTTTGTTCCCGGTTATATTATCGAAATGACTGTCTTCACTATCGGAATAGCCACAATGCTCGCGTTGCCAAATACATCGAAGCAAGGAGTGCTGTAAAACATTTTTAGCAACGGCGCCACTTTAAATTTTGATTTTGTTGTCGAACGTTTTAAGCACATGAAAATATGTCGTAATAAATTTAATACATACATATCATACATGTACATTTTCAAAATTGTTTGTAATAGACTGATCATCATAGCCCAGCAGAGAAAGGAACTATGGTAGAATTGTGGTAACAACAAAAACGTCGTAACCTGCTGCGAAATGGCTTGTAGCAACTTTAAACTATATCGGAAGCTAGAACGGTTCGACGATGTGGGCAATATATTCAAATTGATTCGGATATATCGCGCCAACGAGTGCTTGTGGAACCCCAATTCCACAGGTTACAACAACCGAGCCTTAAAACAAAACGCCTGGACACGCATCGTCAGCCTTTTCGATAATGAATTTAGCATTGATCAGGTGAAGTTGCAAATATTGGCTCTTCGAAACTACTATGAAATCGAAAGGCGGGCCATTGAACATAGCAAGGTGGAAGGGAAACCTTATGTACCGCGTCACTCCTATTACTACGATCTAGAGTTTCTCGGTGAAAGTGAGTTACCTAAAATGGTTTCGTGCCTGGTAAGTGTGTATATGGATGCAGACTATTGCCAAAAATTTTATTTGATTATAATACCAACAGACAAATAAAAGCTACAAAGATAACATAAATCGTATTACCGAGGATGGGTTCATTGTGACCAACAATATCGGTCGCCTAAACAGCGGACGAGTTCCGCTCGAAATGCCTGTTAAGGTGCGACATATTCTCAGAAGCTATGAGAATGCTGACTGTGAGTCAAATATTTAGACTGTCCATTAATAAATAACTAAATGTATACTGTTGCAGCAACATGTGATGACAATTGCTATGATAACGATATTTTGAATAATAAGAACCATTGCAAATTTCAAGAAGATCTTCCGAGAGATGTCGGGGAGAGAAAATATAATCGATATAGTTTATCTTCTGAAGAAATTCATCCTCAGCAGGAAAAAATACAAGCTGGGAACTATGTAGATGGCAGGGCTGATGAAAATGTACGCTCGGCCTCAGGCAACGAGAAAACTTACCCCACAGAATATTGTGTAAGATGCGGATCTGAAGACAATTTTGATGATGACTGCAATATTTGCATGACGCAAAGAAAATTCGGTAGACAAGGTGGTAGAGCGGGAGATCTAGACGAGTATTGCTCGAGCGAACAAAGCTGTACAGAAGAGGATAATGAGCCAATGCCCTACAATAATAGGCAGAGATACCAAGAAAGTTACGGCAAAAGATCATGTCCCATGCAAAGAAAGAAGTTCTCTACTCAGAGTACTGCAAACTCTTGTCGGCGCTGTACGCAGAGCACTTTCAACTTTGATGACGAAGGGCCGGAATCGATGCAAAGAAAGAAGTGCTGTACGCAGAGCGCTTACAACATTGATGGTCAAGGAAATGACTACAGTCTAGAGGTTCAAGCCAGCGTACAATCTTGTACGCATAGTGAACTAGCTCTTGAAGATAACGATAGGCTGAATGCGGACGCTTTACCACGGGGAAACCGTTCCCGTCTAACAAAGAAAAAGAGCTGCATAGATAAAGGAACACGTACTACTAAAAATAATAATTGCAACAAGAAGAGTCAGAACTCGCTATACACCAATTGGCCCCGCCCAAAACTATGCAGACGTTTAAGTAGCAATAACCAACAAATCACTATTCGTGGCAGAGACAGATACCCCAAAGGAAGGTGCAGGTGCATAGACGCAAATAACATGGGGAGGTGTGGATCCTACTGGCAGAAGAATAACGATGCCATGTGCAAAATGCTCACCTCGAATTGTGATGTCGACAATGAGGAGGGAAATTGCAACTGCGATTGCAAATGCGACGACAGGTATGAATAATTTCATTTCCTTATACAGAATTAATGTTGTCAAATTCAGGATTGGAAGATTTCAATCTGGGGAGCAGTGGAGTAACCAGTTTCCAGAACCAAACATAAACCCTAAACCCTGCAATGGCAAGAAAAGCTGCAAAAAAAGGTTTTCCTTTGCATTTAAAACTAGTCCAGCACGGTATTTTGGTAAAATGGCAGCCCATCGAACGCAAAAACTACAAGATGGTTCCTTAAACTGTCCCAAATCTGTGAAACCAATGGCGAGTGCTGGAAACAACGAAACCAGCACAGACGGTCCTTGTGGATACGGCACTACAACTGAATCTTACGGAGCTAACTTAAATATTGGCAATGGCAGGCCTCCTGAATGTATGAATTACATGGGGCCTAATAGGCAAGCCAGAAAGTCTGCGCCGGAGAACGAGGGTTATTATAATGAGACGTTAGCATCCAGGCGCCCAAACTGCACAATAACAAGCAGAAGTATGCGAAAAGTGTCGTACGTCGAATGCGATGATCCTCTCTGCCCATCCAAGATGAACATGGATGGCAACAATACCGATTACAATCAAACGCAAGCTCAACAAAATATGGTGGAACCACCGGAGAACTTTTGCGAAGCAAACGGTAATGGTGTGAGTGCTGTGGCGCCGACCAAAATAGATTTTTCGAACTTCCAATGCAATCCAAGACAACCTGAATACGAAGAAATAAATAAGTACGGCCCGGTCGATAATTGTAATATGAATTGTCTCGCAGCACCCATGCAACCAGCTGCAGAGTCTCGCCAAGAGAGACCTCGGATATCGATAAATCGACCAAACACAGCAAAACGTGACCGGATGGATGAAAAACAAACTGCCAAAATGCAGAATGAATATAACTGCCAGAACAATCAGGACCCTCCCCAACCTCCCACGACCTATGACTGCACCTATGATGATAATGTTTCTATGAAGCCTTCCGAAACTGAGGGAAGTTGCCAGCAATTTCCTTTTACTGATGCTGACTTCGACTGCGACTGTGGTTTTGAAAATGAATCCATTAATAATCCAGAGCAGCCGGGCAACAATAGTATTCCTAAAAATAATGAATATTCGACACCGCAAAACAACAGTCCATGCTACAACAAGCAGGAAAGAGGTCAGCCATGGACCCCAAAGCAGCCACAAAGGAAAACTACTCCGAAGAGGGCACCACCTCCACCTCCTACCGCAGCGTCGGCGCCCAAGTCATGTAAGCAGGACAATACAGCTATGGATGATTGCGACTGCTATTCAATAGTGGAAAATCCAAATCAGAATGTAAATAGACCAAAGGACATTAAACCGGCCAAACAGCAGCCTAAGACACGTCGCAATCCACAAAGCTGTAGTGAAATTGGATTTTGTTACGATGATCAGAAAAATGTGAGAAGAAGAGACCCAAATGTAAAGCAGGCTAAGCAGCGAAAAAAGTATATAGAGGATGACTGCTGCTGTACCTCTGCAGATAATATAAGTGAAGGGCAAAATCGACCTCTAAATATACAAAGGCGAAGCCAAAATCAGAGTCCGCGGCCATCATCCCCCCAAGACTATGGAATAGATTGTTGTGAGGATATGCAGGAGACACCAAAAAGGCGATCTCCCACATCAAAGTCTAAGAAACAGCTTATAAACTATTTGGCTGCCGAGGACTGCTGTTGCGATGACACCGACTTTTTCGACGAAACTCTCACCCAAAGCGATCTGGACTGCTGTTCAGACTTTGAGTCTGACAACACTGAGCTTAAGCCAAAGGTGCCACAACGAAAGGGACCAGTAAACGGAAGAACTTATACGCAGGATTGTTGTGTTACTAATAGACAAAGAATGAGTGGGAAAGTCCTCGATCCGCAAGAGCTTAGTGACTGCTGTTGTGAGGTGGAAAAGGAGAACACTAATGAAAGACAACAGAAAATTAAAAGGCAAGAAAAAAATCAAGCCGGTAAGAACAAGGCAAAGAATGAAGCCCCAGTCTTGGATCAAAATGATATCGACTGCTCTTGTGAGCAAGACTCCAAAGGCTCTAAAAAACCAAGAAACGAACAATTTAGTGTTTTCAGAAAAAATAAAAGGAATAACGACCCATGCGATGTTAAACCTGAATTAAACGACTGCGACTGTGAACAGCTAATGCTTAACCAAAAATCAAGGCAGTTCAGCCAACAGGAACTAGCTATTCCAAGAAAAAGGGAAACAAAAGATGCTCAAGTTGGAATGAGTCCCAATTGCTGTAGATCAGAAATAAATATAAGTAATCCGATAAAATGCAATGATGGAAACGGAAACCAAAAAGTTAGTTCTTCTCCGCCCCAACCATGTGGAATTTCCTGTACTGATGAAATACCTAATAACTGTGTTACCGAACAAAACCAAAATCAAAACCAAAATCAAAACCAAAATCAAAACCAAGATCAAAGCTGCGGCGGCTTTAACAAAAAAGAGCTGTATAAATACTGTGAAGTGGCTTGTGAAACCGATATAGATATGACACTGAACGATCGAAATACCAAAGCTACTGAACTGTGTCCAGCGACTTGTGTCGATAAACCGAAAGAGAATATAAAAATTAAATCTTTCAGATGTGAACCAGTCTGTGAATTACCCATCAACATCTTTAAGGAATGCAAAGAGCAACCCGAACTCGATGGTTATTGTAGCTGTGTCAGTAATGAGGGCTCTCCAACTAAGAAAAGCCAAAGGAATAAACAGGGAACGCCGAAGCCAAATTATAAGCCACAGATGAGCCCAAAATCGAATAGGAATGGCACAATAAACATACGTGATCCAAAAACTAGACAAGAACAAGCAACAAATAATATAATAGATGCCATTACTAGGCAACAAGCACGATCGCCTCGGGTGACTTCAAATGCCATTGAGAGCTTCAGAAGATGTCCAAGGCAGCAGGAAATCAGTTGCCAACAGCCGAACCGGTCCAGAAACAGTCCGCCCGGTTGCTGCGATGCATATAATCGAAGCATGAGAGTACGTCTATTGGATGATTGTAGTCCCAACGACTACGACTATCAAATGGTGAAAAACGAACGTCCACCCAATTCGGTTCATTATATCTGTAGTATTAACAATGAAACCAGCACTAAAGATGCCCAAAACGAGATAGTCATTGTATTGAAGAGCGATGCAAATACATCAATCTATCAGTGTAGGGATACTTCGCGGGTCCAGACTCCTAAGAAAATGCAGTGTAACGCAAACGTAAGAAGGCAGTGTTCTGGTTCGGAGGCTTTCGCAATGAAGGATTCAAATAATCGCGCACAGAACCAAGCGCACGATAAGTTGACCATTTGCGTTCCAGCCACCTTAGAAGAGACTACAAAGGATATTTTAAGGGATCACCTTTCCAACTATACAGGTTTGGTTACGGAAATGCAAAAGATCAACGGCACAGGTCTTTACAGTTATGATGAGGATGCGTTAAAACGACAGATAGAAAAGGCAGTCCGTCCGCAGCCACGAACTCAACGGCGAAAATCCATTGTCAGGCCATACAAGCCCATATCGAGGCCATCGAATAAGAATCCGGGACACCACTATTCACCCGAAGATCATTTAATACGAAAAATCCATACAATACGTCCGAAGAACCCATTCCGAAATATCAACCTAAACGCTTCAAAACGAGATGTTATCATATTGTACCCACCTGTCAAGGATTTCTGTGCCTCAAAGAACTCCCTGAAGATATTTAACTGCCAGCTACACGAAGCTCCCATGAATAATAGCAAAATACCCTTGGGAAAAGGTATGACGAGGCAAACGGCAATAATGGGGGCTCGACTGTCGACGCCTCCACCACTACCCATTAAGCCAAAGCGGGAAATTCACAGTTAGGTTGACGTGCAAGTTCTTCTCTATCCATAGTTGTGCTTTCTTTACACATACATACTACTTCTAGAGCTGTGCTTGCTCATCTGTAATAATTTGTAATAATACCTTTGTATTTATTTAGGCAATAAAGTTTCAATTGGTTATTTCAGGGACTTCTTGAGATTATCCGCACTACAGACATTTTTATAATACATGCATATTCAACAAGTTGAACCACTTTAGATGCAACTAAAGAATATAATGAGTTCTCAAAACTAATTATTATTTCGAAACTAAAGACAAAGTTCTTCTAATAAAAGTTATTTTTGAAATGATCGGTGATATAGCAGATACTATATATAAAATAATGGCTTTGCTGGACCTCATGCTGAACATAAATATACTTGTACGCATAACATCGGGTCTGCTGCTACTCACTCTTCCAGTCTTCTTCCTTTTTAATCCGACTTTTTCGGATACCTTTTCACCCTTCAGGTATGGGGTAAAAAAGGAAGCATATATAATATTGAATATACATTTTCGGGGTTGGCTTATGCGACCAACAAGCAGTCGTTAACTTACCAGAGTATTTTTTTCTATCAGTAGACACTTAAATATTAATTTACGATGAGTGCCGTGACCATTCAAGCGCAGCAATCGACCCCATCAGCACGGGCAATTGATTTAAAGTGGCCACCATTTTGTTTCTTGTTTTTGGGATAATTTTATTAGTTAGTATAATAATTCTCGTCACAAACACATTTTACATAAAAAAGAAATCACAAACCCCAAATCTTAGATTTAATGGAATCGTTTCGTGGCTTAGTTTAAGGGATAATAGTTACAAGCTGTTTCGTCTGAAGTTTTTAGTGCCCGCCCAGCTCGAAACTGTGCTCGTCGAAAATCGTATAGGGGTGAGTATCGCCGTTATGTTCCAAGAGGTCACACAGGGCCAGGATATAGGACTGGGCCATCTGCAATGTTTCAAACTTGGACAGCTTTTGATCCATAGACGGTACTGGTACCACCTTTCTCAACCTATCGAATGCGTCATTCAAGGAGTTCATTCGTCTGCGTTCCCGCAAATTGGCCGCTTGTCGTCGACGTTTTCGAATTGTGGGACTGAGCGGTGATTGGCCAGAGCTTGGAGAGCGACTTCTTAATGTTCTAGATCCCGTCTTGCGTCCAGGAGACTTTGATTTCTTCACATAAGCTGTGTCAGCGTTATCCGTCGCTTGTGCCATGCAATTTTCATAATTTACCGAGCACGGACCTGTCTCCATGGGTGGCGCCGCGCTATCCAAAAGCTGCCAGTCTGGTGACATATAGGGACCATTGTTATAGTCATAGTGTGGCATATCGGTTCCTCCAGAAACCAAGGATAGACTAAAGTTTGGGCTTCCTAAATATTGTGAACTGTTGTCATCTTCGGAGGAATAGTAGAAATCCTGCGCTCGCAGCTCGCCGAATTTCGGTAGCTGTCCTTTGTGAAGGCTCATGGTACCACACGCCTTGAAAGTTGTACTGCAAATGCCGCTAAGTCCGACTTAGAAGGCTTGCCACGCGACTGACACGAGCCAGCTATAAAACTGATGCACTCTGTTGACGCCGCAAAGCCACCCCTCAACGGCATACTTCTACAAATATTTTTACCTCTTGGCTGACCAAGTTTGTGTAAACGGCCCGCAAATGACCCTTGCCCCTGGCTCTGCCAGCACGGAAGACAACAGAAGGATCTTCATCATTAACATATCAAGCATCGGTGCAAGGATCGGCAAGGGGCTATGGCCACACGTTCCTAGTTAGGGGTTAGAAATGAGTGTTCGCTCTCTCCCTCGCACACGCCTACAACAGTTCTCATCGGTTCTGTCAGGCACAATTCATTCTTTCATTCCGTTGTGTTCTCCCTCTCCTTCTCTCCGTCAGCCAGGCACGCGTCATAGCTTGCCAAATTGCCGCTATCATGGTATGTGATCTTTTTTTTATAATTTGTGACTTTCACGGTTTGCAGCACACACACACACAGACGCATACACTAGGGAGATAGAAGAGCCACAGACCTTATGCTGGAAAGGGAGGCACAGTGGCTGGCACATCAATTAACCCGATGTTGCACAGCTCTCGGGTCTAGTGACCATATGTTGCACGAAGGAACCAACTCCAACATATGCCACACTCTGAAATAGCCAGAGCCGAGCAGCAAGTACTATTACTGTATGTATGTACAAATACATACAAATATACATTATATATACATGCATAAGTACTAAGAACTAATAAAGTGAAAACTTGTTTTACAAATACTGTCAAATCATCAACCAGTTTTTTTTAAAACTAATCTTTTTTAATCAAACGTGTACATATCTTGAGGGAAAATATGAATAAATAATGAATATTATTATTGTATTTACCTATTTAGAGGCAACTGAATATCTTTTGATTTAGCAGCCTTTATCAAAAGCCCAAAAAGGGAATTGGGTCATCAGGTCAGGTTAGTTAAAATATATGCTCCCTAATGAAATATCAGTTGCTTCTTATTTCAATTTATTTCACTTCCTTTTTAACGTATTATCAATAAAAATGTACTTTATTTGTTGCAACCCCACTCCTCCGGTTCCGTAATTCTTGAAATTTCTATATCCAATGCAATTTTTAAGTACGAAAATTTAATGTTCCCTGTTTTTAATATTAAATTTGTAAATTTACTGGACAATATTTGGCTGAAAATAGAGCGGTAGTTAGACATTGTTGAAGCTTAATAGATTTTTTTTCCAAAAGTCATGAGATCTATTTTGAAAACATAAATAAATAAATATTCAGATTTTGGTAAAGGTTTTAAAAATTCGCCATCATTCCAAAAATGATTATGGCCTTGGCACTTATGTATAACCAAATGAAGTTCTAGTAAATAAAAATAAATTGGCTGACAGTTTTTGGTCCAGATGTTAATGGAAGCGGGTAGAGCCTAACTAAATGAGCTAAAAACAAGAAAGGAATGCTATAGTCGAGCAGGCTCAACTATCAAATACCCTGTACCACCCCACAAAAAAGAAATTAAATTAATTAATGAATTTAATTAAATTACATTTGCCTTATGCGTGTTTGTGTACTTGTACATATGTATGTATGTGTGCATTGGGCCTGGTTATATGGCTATAACTTTCTTTCCGATCATTCTATCATAATGAAACTTGGTACACGGATACATAATAGCTATCTGGATGTGTCTGCCAAATTTAAGTTCAAAATTCCAAGAATTACGGGAGTTTTAGAAAATCTTGAATAGGGTGGGAGTGGGTGGTGTGCATCGGGAAAAATGAACAAACTCGTCCTTTCTCGGGCTTAGGAGAATCTAGATCCCAAGTTTAGTTATTCTAGCTCTTATACTTTCTGAAATCCTTGCGTTCATACAGACAGACAGATGGACATGGCTATATCGACTCGGCTTGTCATGCTGATCAAGAATATATATACTTTGTGGGGTCTGACACGCCTCCTTCTGTGTGTTACATGTACACTCGCACAAAACTAATATACCCTTGTATCCTTTGGGTACAGGGTATAAAAACTTAACGCCTGCGCACGCCTGGCCAGAGACGGAGAGTTTTCAGTATGACTTCGGCAATGGTTGTATCTGAAACGAAAACAGTTCGCGAAACGTCTGGCAGCAACAGGAAGCATTGGCACAACTCTATTCTTATCACTTAAAACTGAAGCATAAACACTGCGTACACGTCTATTGTCTAAACGACAATCAACTAGCGGCAGTAAAAGCATCCAACTGATTAAATTGAAAACTGAAAACTATAGGCGACTGGATAAGGAAGAACTGGTACAACCGTCAAAGACTCTTGGCTCTCAACCACATTGAAGAACTCGAGTTGCAATACAAGCACACACAGATAAACAAATGTGTCTATATTTGGGTGTCGCGGAGCACCTAGTCGATGTTGTTGCATATTGCGTTTGCCGAGTGTTGGAGCTGTCTCTCTTCACCTTCATGATGATGTGCGGCACGGCCAAGGCGAAGCTCGCAGCTGTGCATCGCACCAATGAGTTGGCCGAGCAATGACAAATATCCGCAGTGGCTGACGGCGATTGCAACTGCTGGATGAACTATTGCCACAATGTCTAGCAAGGGTCAGCTACTGGCAGTGGGACGTGGATAATGGCGAGGTGTTTGATTTCAAAATGGCTGCAGTGTATAACATTTTAGTTTAGGACTTTTTATATGTGCTATTTAATTGTGTATGTCGTATGTATCCGGGTATCATTGAACTTAAAATATACTATATTGTATGTATGTCATTATAATGGCTTTGTTCGTTCAATCATTGTCAGCATTGGGGATTTGCATTCATACTTAGTTGCGTGGCACCACCCACAACCGAGTCATTAGCATGATGATTAAGTATCGACGGGGGCTTACATACTTGTATGTACCAAATTATCTTTGCACAAATGTAAACACGAGTACATACATAAATACATACACAGATATATGTATGTACGTACATACATGTGTAGTTTATGTGTGTATTGCGCTTCGTGTTCAGCCCTCGCAAATATGCTATACAAGTACTTCTGCCTGCCATTACAGCAAATACTCGTATTTTATCGCTCCCATTACGATTACAAAGGCCTATTCTCATTCTTATTCTCGGTACACATTTGTGTTGCTGTTTACAGCCGTTTCTGGCAATGGCTTTGCATAAATTTATTTTAGTTGTACGTGCCCATAATAATGTTCAATGCTTTTACTGGGCCCGAAGCTTATGAGTTAACTCCTTTAGTACCATAAGTCTTTAAAGTGCTATCCATTATGTTGTTTCCACAAATGAGGCTTACATAAATGCAGTTCGTTGCCTTGAACAATAAATAGCCAGAACAAAGTTTAGAGCGATTTACAGATTACAGATTAACAACAATTACGTATAAACTACTAAATTCAATAAATAATATTAGTAAAGTTTTCACAACATTTGAATACTATATAATATTAGGTACAAAATTAATTAATTCTATCTGAGAGCTGTTGATGTTAATGAGGAAAAATAAATGTGTCCCCTGAAGTTTTAAGTTCTTAACTTTCAATACAAGTCCAAACACAGTATGCTCTGCATATGTCAATAAATGCTTACTAATAAATGCAAAGCACATAAAAATATACTCTGTGCAAATAATCAAAAACATTTGTAAATTATGGATAAAGCGGCAGACTCTTGTGGGACAGCGATTGCCGAGGGTCTCGAAGATCAATTGACGTCGGAGCTAGTTATCTACGACTATATGAAGTACCAGAAGAAAAAGAAGAATAAGGCAAAAAAGCATGTACGCTTTAATCAGGTAGTGGAGACTGCTACTTTCTCAGAGAATTATAAGATACGTATTTCCGAAAGTGTTTTGGGAACTGAAGAGGAGCAGGTACGAAAACAAAATACATTTAGTAACTCCCCATATTCATTATATTCCTTGCACAGGCTAATCGAAAACTCAAGAGACGTAACTTCTAATGCAGTGCAATTCGATTTAATTCCAAGTTGGCATCTTTGATGAATTCGCAATCAACAGCCTACATGAAAAATATTGAAAAGCAATTGTTCAATGCATTTAAATCCACTTAAATTCAAAGTTTGTTTGTTAACATATTAAATGATCTTTCGACACAAACCACAGCTTTAAAAAAAAGCATGCCCATTGCTGCTGTTGAGCCCCAACTTTAAATTCCAAGTCGATATTTTGTTACGTATATATTATTGGACAATTGTGTTGTATTAAATAAACAATTCGGCGGCTTTAATTATTGTTCGCTTCCGCTGTAGATTTGTCACCAAATCTTTTACAGCGTAATCTATTAACAAGATTGCACACAACATATTCGCCAGTATCCCGGCCCCCGAATTCCACAGTCTTCACACCATCCTTCATGGTGCGCAGCATTTCCGTCCACATGGCTTCGGCACAGGCTGAGTGCCCCAGATGGTATAGTAAGTCCACACAGGTCGAAATAATGCCGTAGGGACTCAAGAACTGATAGTTGGTCAGCGAGAGCTTCGTCTGCAATGGCTTAAAGACCGCATGTTCATCGCCGATCTCGACAGCACTGAAGAGGGTAGCGCCGCCACAGACCGCACTGCATATAGTGGCCATGAAGGTTGCATAGCGATCGTTTGTCACGAGCACGTCAAAGCAGCCAGGACTCAGAATTAGACGCCCCACACATTCCCCCAAATCCAGAGGCTCAACTTCAATGTCGGTGTATTCACAGCGCTGTAATTGTAGAGCGGCATCGACCATAACTCCATCGGTAACGGGCCACTCGTCTCTCAAATGGACTAGGGTCATGCGTTTTCGCTTCGCCCGGCGCGTGGCCTCAAAAGCAAAACGCAAAACCCTGTCTATACCCTGTTCGGTGACGACGCGGAGGGCTTCGACCACACCCCGAACGGGGGAGTACTCCAACTCCAGATAGTTTCCCATGTTGTTCTGCGTTATTAGCTGAATGTCTACGTCGGGAAAGCGACAATTGAAGCCGGGAAAGGTACGAATTCTGGTCATGAACATATACAAGTCCAAATCGTTGCAAATTTTAAGTGCCTTTCGTTTTTCGGCGGCATCGTGTATAATGTCAATGTGCACGGCCGCATGATTCCGCAACACCGAATTAAAGTAATCGGCTTCCTGTTCGTCGCTGATCTGATGCATACCTACTGGGACTCGGGCGCTGTGTAGCAGACCCTTCATATAGCTGGCGCCTTGTTTCCCAATTATTGTCTGGCCCGTCAGTAGGGTTACAAATGTAATACCGCCGTACTTTGCTTGGGGTACTCGGTAAGTCGGGGCTGGACCCACGTCTCCCTTGATGGCGGCCGAATCGAATCCACTTTGGAAAACGCTGTCGGAAAAATCCCGTCTAATTGGATGCAAGAGCGAAGCCATGCATCTAACACTTTTCAGCTGTCGCAGCATTTTGCTTTACTCGTAATATAAAAGTTTTTGACTTGTAATTTCGAAAACGGAGCGCACTGACTTCTGGGTGTGATGTGTAATGCTACGGTCAGACAAACAAATAATTTGCACACGAAGTTAAATTGAAGTGTAAACATTAAATTTCTTGCTTAATCCGTTCAGGAGAAGCCCATGATTGGGCTTCTTCAATTGTCCAGATATTGGAAATTGAAAGAATTGTGTGTATTTTGAAACCAGTCCGACAAAAGAAAAGACTGCGACTCTTCATTTGTTTCTCATGCGCTTTATTCTCCAAGGTGGTATTTACTGTAAAGTTTCTTAAAAGTTGACTACATTTGGCCGCCATTTGTGTGTATCTCTATTGCATTATATATCCCAGCACTGTGATTTGTCCACGCAAGGACAACCATCGATGCCAAAGTTGCCCAGAGGTATGTCCGTCTGCGTAGACTTCTCTTGGGGTCCCTCCCATTTCCAGGCATTGCGCTGAAAGTACATGTCCGGTAAGTAGTATATGGGATATTGTTCGCGCAACTTTAGATGGTCCTTGAGCAGCTGCATGCCCATCTCTGGCGAAACGTTGTGGGCCTCGAGCTTATACTGCTTGGGCTCGGCAAGGTGCATCGGAGGTGTCAGCGCAAGTCGACTGTGCGGTATAAATTTCTTAAGCTGTGCATCCAGATCGTCCTTTTGCTGGTCGCGTACCTTCCTGCAATTATCACAACGACATCTGCCGCCATGGTAGCAGTAACGTTTCTTGCCATCCTCGTCGACCATCTGAAGGGGCACACAGTCTGGCTTCGGTGATGGTTGGGGCATTGTTTGGGTGCCGCGATGGGCCTGACGGGGGTGAGAAAACATATTGCTGCTCTTTGTGATATTGCCAAATGAATTTAAAATAGGAGAAGCTGCCGCTTGAGAAACCAAATGCTGACTGGCTACATGCTTTTTGAATCGGGGAAGGTGACACAAGTGGCAAGGCTGAGTTTTAAGGCGCAAAAACGATACATACAAGTACATTTATTCACTGTACTGATTACAAAGGATGACGGGACAATCGATTTTTCTTTAAAATATTAATACTATATACCATAGGCGTGTATGGCAGGAGGATATTTTCATTAAGCTCCGTTCAATAGAATGGATGATACTTAAAGAAGACATCTCCTATCATACAGAAATATGGTCCAGCACCACCTCTTGACGGTGTCTAAGTAGCGACTCGGCGTGGCAAACGTTCCGATCTGCTCATTTGTTCAGCTCCCCAACAATAAATATTTTTGGAGATATCCCTTTCATGCTTCCGATCTGGCTTTTGAAAGCCACAGCAGGGACATTGGTTGAGCAAATATTGCACTGCTCTGGATCTTTCATCGGCCATCATTTTCCTATAATAGTTCTTAAGCTCTCGATTTCTGGAATCCAGCAAGATCTGTTTTATTTCCGCCATAGCCAAGCAATTTGTGGTGAAAGCTCCACCATCATGATGTTGACCCGTGGCTTTAGCTGATATTTGGTTTGATTTATTAATCCTCGATTTCAAACTCATTTTTCGACCTAATGAAAAGCGACCCCTCGATGAACGCCCATTGGTAAAGAAATTGTTTGTAAGGGAGGGCTTTTTAGGCTCATCTGCCGGAACTCCCAAGGGCTTGGCCGGGATGTACTTTTTTACATTGTAGTTATCATATTTGGGTTGGGCATTAGCTTTAGCAAATAATGCAGTATTTATACGCATATTTTCCTATTCCGGCTTCCTTTCGTAGTTGTCAGAAAATTTGTTTAATTTTGAATTTTGAAGCGAAACTGTTACTTAAATCTGAAAGGCCTAGGTCTTCACATAGAACGACGATATACCCCAATTCTTGTATGCAAATTCATTTCTTTCCCACTTCTACAACTAAAATAGACTTTATGATACCACTTGTTCTTGGAGCAGCTATATGATACAGGGTGCGACATCTTTTATGTCGGTATGTAAATATTGAATAACTTTGTCATTAGTGAACCGATTGACTTGAGTAGACCAGTGTTGAAAACCTCAGTTCAAGAAATTGTACAGAACCAAATTAAATAAAAATATCTCATAATTGAAAATTGGTTGTTTATTTTCAAAGATATTCAATGTTTACATACCGACATAAAAGATGGCGCACTCTGTATAAGAAATATATTTCAGTTAAGCTTTACGGTGAAGTACTAAAACAATCAGGAGATACCATACATATTTCAATGATATGGTAGCTGGCTGTCTTTGATATCTCTATAAGCAAAACAATTATTAAACTACACAGTTGTAAAAATATATGTAGTCTTCGTGATTCTCGATGCCCATACAAATAGAGAGAGATACACGTATTATATCATTGGATTTGCCACACTTTCCGCCGGTTACCTACGACTCTTTTTTTGTATACATATGTATGTAGAGATCATTTAACTTACCGGCTACTGAGTATACCAAAAAGTTTTCGCTCTCTGGAGAAAATTGTCTATGTTTCGGGATATGACGAAATTAAATGTTTCAAAGCAGTTCCCCCTTCGCGTTCATATCATCATAAATTCATAGTCTCTTAAGCTGATAAGTAATTTTCAAATATACTTGTAGTCAACACCCATACGAGAGCGCCGCTCTTAAAGTGCGAGAAGAGCGTAGCGCATTAATACGTATTATCGAAGAATGTTGATACTCGCTCACTATATAGAAAACAATCAGCATGCTGGTGCGGTTGTTCAGTTTGACGTTGCTAGCGACACTGACCACGACTGTGCGATCGCGCTCGCTTATTTGAAAATGTCGTTCATTGAGAATGAATCTGACTGGCTGTGCACAGAGATTCTGCCTGAGCTTTTAACAAAGGGGCTATTAGTGGATAACTACGACGATGCAAATCTGGGTACCTTTCAAGTGAGCGATATAGATATCAAGATGATCGGAGCCGAGGAGGCTTTCATGCTAACCCAATGCTATCGGGCCACAATCAGTTTTGATTACGCCGGATTGCGACAGCAGAGGAAACTGGTTATTAAGGTAAAATAGTAATTATAAATTACGGAAATTCCATTAAATATTGGATTTGTTGAACGAAATAACAATGACAAATTGCAATAAAAATTATCACTTAATATTAGATGTGCGACTTGACTATCCGTGTCTTTCGACTGCGCTGCTTTTGTTTACACTGACGAGCACATATTAAATATTATTTTTATACGCTTTAACCAAAGGGTAACAAATTATTTTAATTTAGTATGAATGTACGAAATAGAGAAAAAGGAGTGCCATACAAGCTACATATATGCTTGATCGGCATGACAAGACGAGTCGTGTCTGTCCGTCAGTCGGTATAAATATATAGATCTCGAAACGCATATAAGCTACAATATTCATACTTGGTATTCAGATTATCCTAGGTCTGAGAAAAAACAAATCTAGCTCTCATAGTTCTTCGATTTTTTCAGCAATTACTTCAGGTTACTGCTTATATAATAGGACTTCATATCAAATTACATCGTAGTAACGCATCTTTAATGGAAGTTATAGCCATTTTCTTCTGATGCTCTGCAAGCACCTGTTGTTGTATAGAGGGCGTTGAACTGTTGGACCCCTTTGGCTCTATCATTCCTTTTTTTGCTTATATTATCTAAGAGGTGCGCTGATAACGTGATTAAATATGTCTTATGAAGATTAAATGATTTGCCAGGGTGTATAAAAAACATGCAACTCACAATGATTTGTATTTTACAGAAAACGCCACCGATTCCCCCAGAAACTTACGACTCCATTTCTTTTGATGCGCTCTTTAACAACGAGATTCAGTTTTATACAAACATTTTGCATGAAATACAAAAGATTAGTGATGGAAAATTTGCTGCCCCGAAGTATTATCACAGTGAGATCAAACCAGGTTTTGCTCTCCTCATATTGGGAGATTTTGCGGAAGAAGGCTGGTCCATAACCAAGGACAGAGTTGGTCTGAGCCTAGAGCACGTACGCATTGCCGGTTTGTAGAATTATAAACAAGAATTGTCTTCATATTACAACTTAGAAGTTATTAATTTTTTCAGTGAAATATCTAGGTAGTTTTCATGGATTTGGCTACGCTTTAAAGCATTGTGACAGCGACAAATTTTTCCAACTGTCAGCTAAACTTACGGAACCGAGATATGCTGATGATAATATACACCCGGAATGGGGGTTAACAATACGGACAAGCTCGGAACGTGTAGCCAAAGCAGTTAAAAAGTATCAGCCAGAAGTGGATGAAGAATTTGTAAAGAAGTGGGAACAGTTAACCGGCGATTATATCGATTACGGTCGAAAACGTGTAGCTCCCAGGGAGCCTTTGGCCACACTCTGCCACGGGGACTTTTTACGCAACAATATCGCGTATAAGTATATTACTACTGGAGGGGAAGCTGTGCCGGTTGATGTCATGATGTTTGACTATCAAACGTTGCGCGTCTCTTCCCCAATGATCGATCTTTCCGTATTTCTGGCTAATTCGGTATATGCCAATGTCCGCCAAAAGTATTTCGACAGTATATTTAATGATTACTGCCAGGCACTTGCTAAAAGTTTTACAGAATACTCCAAAAAGGATATACCGGAATTTTTGAGGTATTTGCAATTTGTTAATTTGTTGAACCGTTTTTTGTATTCACTTCTCTTTATTTCAGTCGAGACAATTTAATAAAGGAGTACATACGATTTTTGCCATATTCTTTAGGAATATCGGCAAGCTTTCTTATGACTCTTGTGGACCCACCGAATGTTACATCAGAGGAAATGTTTAACAACCAACGAACTGATGAACAAGTCATTAACGACACAATGACTCGGGGTGGAGAAGTTGTGGACAAAGAACTGGCACATCAAATCAAAGAAATGCAGGACCTGAGTCGCCTATACCAAGTTGAAATTGACGAAAATATTCTTTAAAAGTCATGATTTTATGGATCGTTTGAGTATTTGATATGGGCATTCAGCAAATTAAATAAAGAAATAAACATTTATAGTCACAATAATATAAAATATAATATTAAATAGCATGTAAAGAAGATTAGTTGTTAAATTTTTATAGCCTGTACCCAAAGGGTGAAAGGCTATACTAGTTTTGTGCGCATGTATGTAACACACAGAAGGAGGCGTGGCAGACCCCACAAAGTATATATATTCTTGATCAGGATGAGAAGCCGAGTGGATATAGCCTTGTCCGTCCGTCCGTCTGTCCGTCTGTCCGTATGAACGCAAGGATCTAGGAATTATAAGAGCTAGAATAACCAAACTTGGTTTCCATATTCTTCTAAGACCGAGAAAGTACGAGTTTGAGTTTTTTTTCGATGCACCCCCCACTCCCCCGCAATTCGTGTTTTTTCTTATAACTTCCGTAATTCTCGGAATTTAGAAATCAATTTTGGTAGGTACATCCAGTTAGTACTAATGTGTCTGTGTGCCAAATTTCATCATGATAGGTAAATTCTGAAGAAAGTTATAGCCATAAGTAAAATCGCTGCTCATGCGCTGCCCGCAGCTGTTGTTGTTGTTGTTGCTGCTTTGGTTCATTTTTGTGCTGCATACATACACGCATATAAAAACGCATAGGTACGTGATGTAAATGTATGCTGTTAAAACTGAACATAAACATGTATTCTAATTTAATTAAATTAATTAATTAATTCATTCATTTTTTTAATAATTAAATTTTTTTTTAATTTTTCTTTTTAGTGGAGGGTACAGGCTATTTTACTGTCGGGCTTGCTCGACTGTAGCGTTCTATCTTGTTTAAATTGAGTATGTGGACCAAAATCACATGTTCTTAAAAAATTGAAAATATATTAACGCGATAGTTCAGAATTCTAAAAACCTCATCTGTTTATTGTCAACAACCCCATTACACGTTATATTTATTTAAAAGAGCCATTTAAAAAGGTATATTTCAAGATCCTATATTATATTGGCAAAAGCATATTAAAGACGTCTTTTGTCAAGGTTTTCAGTTTCTCGTGATAACTTAATTATAAGTTATGTTTTAAAGAATTCAAATGTAAATTTATAAACCCAGCCCTATTAATATGATACAAGCAACATCTTATCACGAAGCTATGAACATCAAATATCAAATAATTTGCAGTACAGTTAAAAGAGTCTCTAATTGAAACGCGTGCTGGGGGGTTAGATACAGCTGCACATAAAATAAAGGTTTACTATTATACAATAAATGATTTATATTGTTTTTTTTTAGCATTTATATGCATGTACAAAGATATGCAATCATTGTTGATAATATCGCTTTAAAATTAAGCAACTTGGGGACTTGCCTACTTAGTAGCTCGCCCGATACTAGTGTTGTCGGACTAAAACGAAATTGCTGATATGGAAAATAGAAAGGATACAGATGTGGGTGCCACCAAATGTAATGGAGAATACTTAACTGACTGTTCACTAATCAATTATAGGTGGCCAGTGCTATCGTTGAATTCAGTGAAAAGGGAAAGACCTATGGGCAGCTGGCTTGGTATTACGCGCCGCCCTTTGTATTATTCTGGTGCGGATTATTTTTTGCTGTAGTTCTGCCGCTCTTCAACTATCTACCAACTGCAATAAAAATCAACGAGGAGTCCAACCGTCCGGGACAATTTGTGGCAGAACGAGCAGAGCGCATATTGCTAGAGTTTGATCGAATGGGGCCGAAGATTGTGGGCGACGAAATGAATGAAAAAGTAATGGTACAGTTCTTGCTCAATGAAATTGAAAAGGTTCGCGCCGAAATGCGCGACGATCTCTATGAACTGGAGGTTGATGTACAGCAGGCATCTGGCGCGTATTTGCATTGGGAAATGGTAAACATGTACCAGGGTGTGCAGAACGTAATCGTCAAGCTGAGCACGAACAGTTCCAATAGTACATCCTACCTACTAATCAACAGTCATTACGATAGCAAGCCCGGAAGTGTGGGTAAATGGTTTAATATTAGCTTTTCATAAAGATTTCTCATACAAGATTTCCCACCTTAGGTACGAGTGATGCCGGCCATATGGTGGTCACAATGCTGGAAGTGCTGCGTCTATTGACCAAGTCAGAGGAGAGCTTTCTACATCCTATTGTGTTTGTCTTTAATGGCGCTGAGGAGCAACCCCTGCAAGGTTCGCACGCTTTTATATCGCAGCATAAATGGTCCGCATACTGCAAGTAGGTGAAATTTCCAGAGCCATATGTCAATACTAACTCACAAAACTTCAACTGGGACAAGGGCGTTGCTTAATCTAGATTCTGGTGGTTGTGGCGGACGTGAACTTCTATTTCAAGGCGGACCGAATCATCCTTGGCTAATGAGCGTAAGTACTCGTTGCGATATGGCTCTAATACATGTATCGCCATTGGATTGAATAAAAAATAACTTTTTATCTTTCAGCCAATATCTAATCATTTTTTTTCGTCTTATCTTTAATAAATTATATGCAATTTTTAACCACACTTTATGCTTTTAGCATTACAAGAAGAGTGCCAGGCATCCTTTTGCTACAACAATGGCTGAAGAGATTTTTCAAGCGGGCATTATTCCTTCAGATAGCGATTTCAGAATTTATCGCGATTTCGGACCAGTGCCAGGTTTGATATAACTCTGAAATTCTCTTTTGCATTTTCTCATTGTAAATTGTGCTTATCAGGTCTGGATATGGCAGGAACCTACAATGGATATGTTTATCACACTAAGCACGATCGCTTTAACATAATACCACGCGGCTCTCTACAGAATACCGGCGATAATCTTTTATCTCTAGTGCGCGGCTTCACCAATGCTGAGGAAATGTACAATACCGATGTAGGAATAAACAGTAGGGGTTCTTACATCAACAGCTATTTATGCGATTTTTATAGGCACACTCCGAGGGTCATTCCGTCTTCTTTGATTTTTTGGGTCTATTCTTTGTTTACTACAAGGAGGCAACTGGTGTGGCTCTGAATATTTGTTTCTCCTTCGCTGGACTTATCTTGGTAGGTGTATCACTGTGGCGCATGGGAAAGCTATCCGATCTGACTTTTGGAAAAATTACCGGCCTATTTGGGATCGTATTTCTGCTGGAGCTGGCTAGTTTCGTTCTGGCCTTGGGTCTACCATTACTTATGGCTGTATTTTACGATGCTGGCGATCGCACATTGACGTACTTTAGCAACAAATGGCTTATTATCGGACTATATATTTGTCCAGCGTTGATTGGATTGATGCTTCCCATAACACTATACCTCACATTCCGACCGAATGTAAGTAGACCAACATCTGTAAGATATTTAGGGGATAAATATCTAAATGAATTCACTGTTGCAGGATAAAATGTCACATGCCTATCATCTTCACATGGCTCCTCATGCCCACTGTGTTCTCCTCGCTTTGCTCTGCATTATACTTACAGCCGTTGGTCTCCGTAGTATCTACCTCTGTATGATATCTATACTCTTCTACATTTTCTCATTGATCATTAACTTGCTAACCAAACTGCACGATCGTGGTAAGTTTAAATCAACTTAATATCACAATTTGGTTTAATTTTTTCTTAACTTCTAGGTTACTATTGGTCCTTGGTGCTAAGTATATGCCAGATAATGCCTTTTCTCTACTTCAGCTACTTGTTCCTTGCATTCCTTACCATTCTAATTCCGATGATGGGTCGTAAGGGTATTGGCATGAACCCTGATCTCATAATTTCCGGATTATGTGCTTTGGGCACGATACTTTCCATGGGGTTTGTTGTAAGTGCTTTTAACATTTCTTTGTCTCTCGATTATGTACATACTCATATGTATAATATATTTCTGCTTCTTCTACAAAAGGCACCGCTCATCAACGTATTCCGTCGACCCAATTCCATAATGGGTGGCTTAGCACTAATTACATTTATTTTCTGTATGATATCCGTATCCGAAGTTGGGTTTCCTTACCGCGCTAAAACGAATGTCATGCGCGTCAATTTTTTGGTGAATAAGAGCTTCCGACCCATCGCTTAATCGAATTTACAACTATTTGACGTTACAGCAAGTTCGTCGAACATTCTACGAGTACGATGGATCTATAAGCTTATACGATTCCGGTTACTACTTCGATTTCCAGGATAGACGCATAGAACAGCCATTGATCGATTCAATGAACTTTACGGGCCTGATTGGCATTAGAGATAAATGTGGCTCCCTTATGATGTGTGGTGTGCCCTGTTTTAATCACCGATGGTGTAAGGCCCGCTACGATGGCCATTGGCTGCCCCGTGAAAAGACTGTGGAGGTGCCTGGCACTAGAGCTGCAAAATGAATCGATGCAGAATCGATTTAATCGATGTTTAGCATTTTTGTTAAGCATCGATTTTATTTGTTGAGAATCGATTAATCGTGTAAATTTAAATGAACACATTTGTTTCAAGGTGACGCTGAGTGGCTAAGCGGTAAAAGTAAAATTAATAATTGCCAAATAAATCAAAACATTACATTTTCTTTTATATTTTTGATTATATTGGTGTGTTGGTGGCTTGGAGAAGAGGAGGGAAACGGATAAATGGATAAATTTTTGAAATCAGGTAAGAATTTATGCCTCATTTAGTTAAGCAGTGAGGGGCATTCCGACATGTGACATATGTATGTATGTACAAGTATGTATGTATGTACACGTATATTTTATGCGCAAAACTGCACACATTTTTGTATATACATACATATGTGCAAAATAAATATGATTGTTACGCATGATTTTTGTTTTCTGTGCACATAAACGCAGCTTAGTTTTAATTAATTATTGCATTATTGTATGTGTACTATTTACATTGATATATTTTTGTATGTAAACCCTTTAGCGGCACAACTATTTACATTTTTTATTTAATTTTGGTTTTTAGGTAATATCAAGGAAGTTGACGAGTCCGTGGAGCACAGTGGCAAGCGTAAGGGAAGGCAAAAGTCCGACATTTGGAATTTTTTTACAAGGCTGCCAGGGGGAACCTCTGCAAACTGCAAAACTTGTGGTTTGGATTATAGAACAGGTGGAAACACAACAATCTTGTTTAATCATCTATTGCGGGCTCATACGACTTTGTCCCATGAGTCGAAGCCTGTGGCGACCATAAAAACTTTCTTCAGTTCAAACAATTATTATGAAAACAATTCCGCGCATAAAAAGGAGCTTGACAAAGCATTAACCCGCATGATTGCCATCGATATGCAACCCTTTCGCATTGTTGAAGATCGTGGATTTCGTGATTTCGTTTATTACCTTAATCCAAGGTATATATTGCCCAGTAGGACAACTTTGAGAAACGTGCATCTACAAAATATGTACAACGAAATGAAAGAAAAACTTGTTCTGATTCTCAATAACGTAGAATACTGTGCCGTGACAACGGATAGTTGGACATCGCGGGCGAATGAATTTTATGTCACAGTTACTTGCCATTTCATAGACAAGAACTTTGTATTAAGAGAAGCTGTTTTATCAACTTGTAGTTCATACGGAAATCCGACTCCCGACATCGAAGAGCCACCAACACATCCTGATTATCCAAGCACTAAAACATCGCAAATTTATGCATTTGTGCAGGACAAAATAGCACAAAAACAATCAAGAACCCCGCAAGCAGATGGTATAATATTAGTGAGACAATACTTAGAAAAACCTCACGAGTTGCAGGGCACACCACCATTGGAATACTGGAAGGTAATACTTGTGGCATCTAAAAAACTTAACTGCTAATTATATTTTTGCAAATTTCAGACACATGTGCATGAAATGCAACACTTTCAAAATTGCATCTTTAAGTATTTGTGCATTCCAGCATGCTCCACTGCGTCTGAACGCATGTTCAGTAAGGCGGGATGCATCCTCTCTGACAGACGCGCCGCTTTAAAACCGTTTATTGTAAACCAGTTGCTGTTTACAAACAAAAACCAATGGCTAAATGAATAAAATTGATCTTATTAAAAATAAAATTTAATTTTTCTTCCTTAACGATTAATCGATTTTATTTTTGAAAAAATCGCGATTAATCGTAAAAGATCGATGCTGCCAACATCGATTATTTTGCAGCTCTACCTGGCACATCAGAGCTGACTCTTCTTAGCAAAGTGGTGCTCCCGGACGGAAACAATGTACGTTACGTGTTTAATCTTTCTGGACCGGCACGCATGAGTTTGTTTGTTCAACCCATGAAGGGATTAAGAATGTTGAACTGGTCCTTCCTACATGGAATGCTCGAACAGCCGGCGAAGTTTAGACCACCCTATCATATTTTCTTTGCATATGGCAACGATGACTCGCCCCTGGAGTTCTATTTTGAACTAACAGTGAGTTGACTTTTCTCATACAAATGTATCTCATTGACTTTATATGTAATGAACTTATAGAAAGAGGACGGCAAGTTCGACGAACCTGTCTTTGAGATTGGTGTCTCTGGCCACTACCTAAGTTTCCTGCATAAACGCGACGCTGAGAGTGAAAAGTTTATTGCAAACTTTCCAGACTGGGTACATGCCATGGAATGGCCAGCATCCTATGAACGATATATATATTAAAATTATAAATACATATATATGTACAAGTATATTTCTCTAAGAGAATTTTTCGAAACAAATTCGTTATAAATTTTTAATATAATTCGAAATATTGAAAGTAAAATATATAAATAAATGACTGTTCATTTCATGATAATATAATTAAACAAACTTTATCAAATCAGATAATTGCCACTTGCATGTTTACTGGCGAAACCAGTTTGATTGTAAATTACGTTAAAATGATTAATTCCCAACGATATGGCAGCACCAACCATTTCGAGTTTTTCTAGCACTGGGACTAGAGGTGTGCAGGTCACGAATTGACACACTTCTATTTAGTAACATGAATTGTACTTGTTGAGCTACAAATTTTGAGAATATGTTGCAACCATCGAGACAACAAATACTACGGCTTTATAAGCATCTCATCCGCTACGGAAATCATCTGAAATTAACGGACAAGAACTATTTCTTAGGACGTGTGCGTCACGAGTTCCGCGAAAACCGGCAGCTTTCGAATCCTCTAGAGATCGAATTTAGCTTTAAGGTATTGCCTGTCTGTTTCATAACAAATCCCTATTGATTATTTTTAAACACAGCGCGGCGAAACGCTGCTTAAAAAAGGACGTATACTCTAACAATGCTCCGAGCAATTACAAGTCAGTTCACCACCTTTTGCCGCCTAAGTATGGTTCGTTGCAAAGCTACCGGCAACATAGATTACTCACGCTATCCAACGCTGCAAGAAGCTGACATTGAAGAGACATTTATGCGAGGCAGCGGACCAGGAGGCCAGGCTGTCAACAAGACGTCCAACTGTGTGTTTCTCCGACACATACCAACCAACATAACAGTCAAGTGCCACACACATCGTTTAGCTTCGAAGAATCGCGTAGAGGCTCGTAAATTACTTTTAGAAAAACTTGACACTTTTTTGAATAAGGAACACTCAATTGCCGCCCAACTTCAAGCAATTGAAAAAAAGAAATCTACCGAACGTAAACGCCGACAACAAAAATTGCAGGATTTAAAAAGGAATTGGCAAAACCGTGAAGAAACAAATAGTGATGTAAATAGGCCTGATGAAAAGTAAAATAAATTATAGTATAATTTTTTTAATTACATACTTGTTACCAACTGGAGAAATTGCCAAAGTCATTCGTGATTTTTTTCTTTTTCGAAGCGGGTTGAGAGGCGACTTCAAGTTCAGGCTTTTTGGGTCCACTAAGCTTAAGATATTTGCCAACGCCTTCACGATACACTTTTAAAGGTTCCTTCAGTCGCTTTTGCTTCTCAGCATTTGCGACCGTTTCTTGCTTGGCTGCCGCCTCATCTTCACGCTCTTTTGCTAGCTGTGCAACAGCTTCTTCAAATGGATTAACAAAAACCTGAACATTTTCAATAATAATGTCTTCAATTGGTCTATCCTTATTGTCCACTTCAATGTTTTCCATTTTCTGCAATGTTTCAAGACCGCCAACTAGTTTTCCAAAAATGGTATGCTTTCCATCCAAATGCTTGCACGAGCGATAGGTTATGAAGCTGCATTCGTAAAAATATATTATTTTTATACTTCTATTCAGTGGAAAATCTTTCGAATATCTTACAATTGTGCGCCGTTTGTGTTGGGCCCTGAGTTAGCCATAGAAAGTATGCCGCGACCAGTATGTGTCAGATTTGGCTTAAACTCGTCCTCGAACTTTTTTCCCCAAATTGATTGCCCACCGGTGCCGGTTCCTGTAGGATCACCGCCTTGGATCTGAAGAGGATTTATAAGTAAACAGTATTTTAAATTTATGCACCAACTTACCATAAAATTCCTTATGGATCGATGAAAAAGTACGCCGTTATAGTACCCATCAAGGCAATGTTTAATAAAATTGTCACAAGCACGTGGCGCAGCTTCACAATAAAGCTCCAAATTCAGAGGGCCGAAGTTGGTGTTCAAACGTACATAACCCTTTTTCTTAACGCGCTCATATTTAACCAGATCATCGTCTATGATCGCTGCCTCGTGTTGGGACACAGGCATCATGGCGGTCGATGTAAAACTGGCAGCCACAGCTCCAGTCGAAAAGTGAGCAGCATTGAATTTGTCTGCCGTGCGCTTTGAACTTGTCGGTGCCTCATCAGCTGGCTGGTAGTCCTTCTCTAATTGCGCTAATGTCTCTTTTGTTTCCAGATTCATGGTCTTAATTCTGCCGACAGGGTCTTTGCGTTCTAGCTGTTCCTCTTCTGTCAGAACACGCAAATTCTTACGTATGTGATAGAACTTTGATATATCGAATTTTTCCAAATGCTGTGGGTCCTGTATGGTTATTATATCTTTGCGTAGAAACGGCGTGTCATTGACCAGATCCTTCCAATTCTTTGTTTTTATGTTCAACTGATCAATAGCCTCCCAACAATAAACGTTCCCGGTAGTCGCCACAGCGACAATGTGCGAGTTTTTAGTGAATGGCTTAAACAGCGCTGGGCAATGGTACTCTTCATCGGCATTCCTGTAAAAGTTAAGCTTAACCAAGGATTTGGCATCCATTTTTTGTCCGGTGATAGGATTAAGCTTGAACGCTTTCAAAAATTTTAATATTGCCTCATATTCGAACACATTGCCGTTGAGGTCACAGTATGGCATCTCGAATGGCGCCATAGTAATGCAACAATGCTCGAACGGCAGGCGCTTAAATTTAATGTGTTCATTTTCCAAGGATTCTGTCTTTTTGCCGCCATAAAGTTCCGACCACTCGGTGTACGTTAAGTACCTATGATAAGACGGTTGAAAATGCTACTGCATCTGCTCGAAATTTAGCCGTAACAACAAAACTTACATTTTATCCTTCTGATGCTGTCGTTTGCCCATTTTTGCAGCCTTTTGTTAAACCACAACAAACTAGAATTGTTTATGCGAAATAAAAGTAGGAAGGTTGCCACATAATTTGCAGTGCTGGAAAATGCGATCAGAACGCTGAAGTCAGCTGATCTATAGTCAGCTGTTGGTTTCAGAACTCTATGTGTTTAATCGATGTATCTGTTTGATCTAATGTGCAATGGAAAATATTTTTTAAGTATAATTTACATACAGATATTTTTAATTGGATGCTTTTAATTAGTAACATACTATTTTATTACAAATTATATATATAACTATTAATAAGTTTAATTTTATGTAAATTAAATGTGTATCTTTAAATAATAAAAGCTTTTACGATCTAAACGCATTTTACTACTTTATTGTTACAACTTAGACTTCCTTCTTGACTACTATTTATGTTGTATTTAGAACGATTAGATGTCCCTCACTAGAAACTCCTTTGAAGCCTTCACGCAAAGCATCGATAACAGCGATAACAGCTGAACGCGATTTGGCTAAATTTAGTTTATTTGGTGCACGCAGAAATAACAAAGACGATTTGACCAAGAATAATTATACTAGATATTAAGTAAAGAGTGATATAAATAAGTCAACAGTTGACCTTGGGCTTCCTTGGTTCGTCATGCCAAGCCCAAACATCAACTATCGGTCCCTGGCCGAAGAGAATCCGTTCAAAACACACGAGGAACCAACAACAACAAAGACGGACGACGCAAAATCATTTACAGCTGCTGCGCATTTAGACCCCGACCCCCTCAATGACCATGATCACGAAAACGAAGATACACCGCGTAACAGCGGAATCATGATACATATAGTGCCCGAAACGGGCAAAACGCGTTGGAACCACATCGAGGATCTGGATTCCTTCTTCTCCCGCATGTACAATTATCAACAGAAACACGGATTTCTTGTAATCGTGTTGGGTGAGGTATTCCAAGTGCTGGAATTCGGTTTCGTAGTGTGGCTGCTCACATTTACGACACACTGCATCGACCACGATGTGCTCTTTGGCAATAAGCCACCGGCGAGCAATTCTACAAAGACTACGCTTAGCGATGTGATAATACCTACTGGAAAGTGCGTAGCTGAGTTCGGCGCATTCACGTTTTTCTTCATATTTATAGCCGTCATATATCTAGGCATTAGACTGTTAAAGATGATATATCATATAACGCAATACGCCGATATCAAGAAGTTCTACAATACAGCCCTGCGCATTGAGGATGCGGAATTGGATAATATAACATGGCACGAAGTGCAACAGCGCATTCGGAAAGTGCAGGCTGAGCAGCACATGTGCATCGACAAGGAGCAGCTTACCGAGCTGGACATATACCACCGCGTGCTGAGATTCAAGAACTACTTAGTGGCGCTGATGAACAAGCAGTTGCTACCCGTGCGTTTTCGTTTGCCATTAATTGGAGAGGTGGTATCACTCAGCCGCGGGATGCTCCTCAATGTCGAGTGGATACTCTTCCGCGGTCCAGGCTCGCCGTTCCAAAATAATTGGCAACTGCGCGACGAGTTCACCGTACGCAGCAATCAAGCGGAATTGGCCCAGCGCCTTTCCAATTTGATACTCTTTGTAGCGCTTGCGAACCTGCTGCTATCGCCTGTGATCTTCTTGTGGCAGCTTATCTACTTTAGTTTCTCCTATGCCAACATACTCAGAAAAGAACCGAGTGCCTTAGGCTTGCGAACGTGGTCCAACTACGGACGCCTGTACTTGCGCCATTTCAACGAATTAGACCACGAGCTGGACGCCCGACTGAACCGTGCCTATGAGTATGCTGATCGCTACTTAAGCTCATTCTCCTCGCCACTGGCGGCTGTGATAGCACGAAATTTACTTTTCGTAAGCGGAGGTGTGCTTCTACTTATATTGGGCTTTGGCATCTATGAGGAGCATGTCTTCCAGGTGGAGCACGTGCTGACCATCATTGCTATACTCACCGTTGTGGGCGTTGTGTGTCGATCAATGATACCTGACGAGAATTTAATTTGGTGTCCAGAGCAATTGATGACCGCCATCTTAGCCCATGTACACTATCTTCCTACAGAATGGAAACAACAGGCACATACCGCTCACGTTCGTGATGAGTTTGGAAATTTCTTCCAATTCAAGGCAGGCTATCTGCTCAGTGAAATTTTCAGCCCATTTGTCACGCCATTTGTGCTGATCTTTGTTTTTAGGCCAAAAGCCATAGAGATTGTTAAGTTTTTCAGGAGTTTCACCGTTTCTGTTCGAGGTGTGGGCAATGTGTGCTCCTTTGCGCAAATGGATGTGCGAAAACACGGCAATCCGGATTGGCAGATCAACAACAGTGCGGTCGGTGAAATGCCCCCAATAGTGCCTGAAGATCCCACCAAACCGCAACAACAAAGCCTGGTAGGCGGCAAAACAGAAATGTCTCTTCTAAGATTCACCCTTAACAATCCTGAGTGGCACATGCCCAAAGAGGCATCGGCATTCATAAAGGGCATACGCGAGCATGCCATCGATGAGTTGGTCAGAGCCAAGACCAGTCGACAGCCTGGCGCCAAAGAGAACCCACTTACCCAAAGCCTGCACTCCTTCGGCACTATTGGCGAGGAGTACAGCTCCATAGCCAATTCGGTGATGGCCGCACAGGTCAGTCCCGAACAGATGGAGCTATCACAGTCATTGTCAGCGGCGCGTGGAGTTAATGTAGCAGGCAGCGACTTCCGTCAAATGCTGCAACAAAATCTTGGCGAGCCGCTCAGCATCGGCAGTGCTGGGCACGCCAGCTCACGCCAAATGTCCACCTCGGTGGGTCCGCTCGATAGCATGCGTCGCTTGCGTTTGAGCAAGGCAGAGGGGCGCATTGAGGGACCAGCGGATACTTTGCTCTACAGTCTGTACGGAGTGGATTCCAAGCTGGCCAAGAATCCGATCGGGGTTACTGTTGCGGACATGTGTCTGAGCGCACTTTATCTTCACGAATTAAGTCAACAAAAGCGCAAGGCGCGCCAACAATGCGCCGACATCGAAGAAGCGGACGAGGAGCCGGGGCCCAGCAATAAACGACAACAGCAGCCACCACCACCGCCGCCACCCTCAGCACCGTCTGGATCCTCGCGACACGCCTTAATTACCTCAAAGGCGGCCGAGAGTACTCCGCTGTTGGGTAGCATACGTTCATAGCAGCAAGCCGTGTGGATTTAGTTTAAGGAAAACCCATGCTACTAGTGATTAATAATTTTTAATCGAAGTGTGAAATCAAACGATGTATAATAATTAAACAAAAGCAATAAATTAACAGCATCAACGACTCCTCAAAAAAAAAAAACAAAGAAAAAAAGAAAAGTAAAATGGTATAAAATAGTCAAGCTGGTGTCTCTCCAACAACCAACTTTGGAGCTATTGGTGGCATGGAGTTGTGGTTGGTTGGCAGCCCCAGCAGCGCATCCAGCTGTGCTGCACCGCCTCGTGTGTCACTTGCCACACACGAACGCCATTTGGCGATCCTTGCCGCCATTGGTGTTGATAGCATATGCAGACCTGCAAGATACCAGATGCGTGTCTACATACAGCAATACATCACTCGATGGCAACATGCAATTGTGGTCACTGCTGTACTGGACCTAGAGCGTACGCCGTCCCCATCACCATCACCATGTTGCCGCAACATTGCAACATTATGGCCATGGCTGGTGCGTGCCGTGTGTGTGCGGCTAGTTTATGAATTATGTTCGTGTCGCGTGAGAATCTTGTCAAGAGGAAGAAAAACGCAGAACACGTTGGAATATTTTTCCGCTGCACGCCAATTTTAGCCGTTGCTTAACATTAACTTGTGGCCATTTGTTAGTTTTTCCCGTTTTGGGCTATCTCTGCATTGACTGGAGCCCGAGTATGCCAGCACTAATTGTAGCGCTCATGTTCGAAGTCATGTTATCCGATTGTTGCGCTTTTAGGAAGTCCGCCTGCAACAAATGCATACTTACAAATACTCGCACATATATCTATAAATATATTGTAAAGTATGCAAACAGTAGAGATTAAATACGACTAATTATATTTGTAATATTACATGTCGATCCACTGAGGAAAAACTTCTACTACGACTGATCTTCCCCAACAACATATATAGTTTACTATATGTGTGAAGTTTATCCAAATTTTAGCAACCCAGATTAATTAACTTAATTTGTTTAATTGGGTGTGCATCTGAAATATAGGATATGTACGAGTATATGTATATGTGAATATGCAGACAAATTGTGTTCCACTTAGGCACTGACCTTAAAGATATAACATAAATGTATTTTAAAATTTGATGTACTACAAAGGAAATGCCGAAAAAACGGCATAGATTATTAAATTAGCAGATGAATCCCCGCTGAAGACTTTTTGGTGGTTTTGTTTCAAGATAAAAATTAAAATAATATATTAATATATTACTTATGAGAAGTATGTGTTTGCAAAGTTCGTCCCCAAAAATCTTCTGAGGGTCTTACAACCGTTGGTGCTGAGTTTTCGTCATGCCAGGTTTCACCTTGATAGCCCAACTAACGAAGGACAATTCAGATCCGGAAATAACATTTTAAAATGTGCTTTGAAAATGTACTTTAAAATATTTTATACTATGTATTACATCAATATTTATTTATATTTTAATTTTGTTTAAAAATTTAGTTAGTTTAGTTTTTATTATTATTTTTTTATTTATTATTATTTGTTTCAAAGCGTATATTATTTGAAAAAACTAATAATAAAATCTCAGACTACATACATTAAATTGTTTTTAAATGTTACTGTCAAATAATTTATGCAGCATGATCTTAATATCGATTATGGGTCACCATTGGCTGATCTCTTGGCAAATGTGAATGGCCTACGCATGCTGGAGCTGGAGTTGAAGTTGGCGCTGGCCATAAATGCCATAAGCTATTAGAAACGCGGCAATTGTTGCTGCCTGTTCGAGTAAAATAAAAATATTTCACGATTGTTGTCAAACAATCGATTTTAATTTATTATTTCCTGCGGCAATTTTGAAGCATGCGTTTGCCAGCAATTGGACACCGATATGGCTAACATATGCTGCCCAGTTCATAGCCAAGAATCAAACAATTGCAATGGCCAACGACAGCGAAAAATGACACTCCATAAAGTTGGAAGGGGCAGATACATTTGATACGCAATTTGGCTGCAGCGCACAGCAGGCGAATGTTTTTCAAATAGGGCTGCACTTTAAAAAATTGATTCTCCCTATGTTAAACTGGAAAACGGAAATAGTACAGAAATTTAAGTATCCGGGATATATTAATATATGGCGGGTTATGTCGATTAGACTTGTTTATACATTTACAAAACTTTGCATCACTATACCTCTTATTACCGATAGCTTCACAATTATTTTAGTACAAAATGTAAATAACTTTAGTAAAAATTTGTTTATATTCCTATTTTGTTGTATTCCCATTTTATTATTTTATTTCTTGATTTTTAAAATCGTTCTTAAAAATGTTTGCGAGATTATGACCAAACACAAGAATTTTGAGGCAACTCAGTGAAAAAAAAGGTATCAAATTAAATTGAAATTTATATTAAAATACATTGGCTAAGGACTTATTTGCTTATGATTCAGTGTGGTATTTTAACATCCATGTTATGAAACCTAAATGTAGACTTTAGCTGAGCGTTGCACACAAGAAAAATAGATAGTTCTAAACTTGTATTTGCCGCTGAGCTCAGGTTCTGGTGACTATAGACATGAGGATTTGGAGCTTCCGAAGGAAAGTTACATACATATGTTATTTTTTTCCAAAGTCCTTTCGCAGATTTGTGTATAATATGAAATAATTTGTATGGACTATGTATTAATGCAAGTAAGTGTGGCTGTGTCGAATCTATTTCTTTGACTGTATCAGCTCATGCCCCAAGAATTGGCAGTTCAGTGCCAATGGAAAGGCCGCTGCAACCAGAACGCATTGGCAGTGGCAGACTCGGGAACTCGTACGGTAGACCACATGTGCATACTATTCGAATATGTGATGCCTGGACCACCGCGTAAGCAGCTGCCTGCCACAGCCTGGCCAGCCGGCTGTCACTTTCGCAGTGCGCCAGAGCCAGAGCCAGAACCAGTTCAAGATCAAGCGTCACCATCATTTTGCTTAAGAGTATATTGGCGGGTTGGTTGATTGGCGACAACTTCAGTGCATTCTGCAGACGGATCGCTAAGTAGTTGGCTAGCCATTGGCATTGCTTTGGTGCGAAATCGCAGTTACAATTAGAACTTTGAAGGCACGTCTTGAGTCAGTGCGGCGGTATCAAACGTGTCTGTATGTCTGCGGCTGCGACTAATGATGATAGCTGATTGAATGGCCAGTGTGAGTGTGAAGCTTAAGCGTCGCTCTTGATTGACAACTGATCAGCAAATGGCATTGGATCATTTCAATCACATTGGCCGTTGGCCTTTCAAGAGTCTCTCCGTGCAGCTGCTACCCAATGGTCGATCGCCGATGTCCACTTTAGAGGCTGTGGCCGATGGAGGCAGCAGTTGGGGCAGCCACCGTCGTCGTCGTCGTCGTCGTCATCGTAGTTGTTGTTGATAGGTTATCTATTTTTCCTCATAATTAAAAAACCAGTTTGCCGCTTTTTAGGTTGCTTTACAAATAGGCCTCTCATACGCGGTCAGATAGTTTAGTCAAATTAAAAACGATCTTGAGAAATGCAGCAATGTGGCAACAACATCTAGCATTGGCGTCCTGCTTTCTACCAAGTTTCTAGTTGCTAGTTGCATTTGAATTGCAAATTAAATGAGGCAGCCTCGGCTGCCAGAGGGGGAGGCAAGCACTATAGCTGATCCCATGTAATCGAGCGTTGATTCAATAAAGCATTTAAACATTAAACTGCTTTTATGCAAATTGCCGGCGTGCGCTTAATTTTCGATTTGAGTCCAGGCTGCAGAGGCTATGCCATCGGGCATCGGCATCGGCATCCGGCATAGTCGATGTTCGCGTGAATTATCTTCACATCGCATGCATGTAGCAGGCCCTCCCCCTAGCTGCCCGCTGCCCTTGCTAGACACTTGTTGCAGTGGCCAGCGATAAGATCTAGAGTGGCCAGCGTGTCGGCCGGTGTGTATGAATGCATATACTATACTATATGTATGCATATAAATACATACTTGTATATAGTTGTGTGTGCTTGAGACGATCCGGTCATGCATGTAAGTGAGCTGAAAATTATTTTTACTGTTGCGGGTTTTCAATTGCTGCTGCATGCCGCCAGCTTCCTGTCTCCTACTACCTCTTGCCGCCGTTCTACCACGTTTTACCATTGGCATCTCCACTCGGCTACTTTTTTGCCTTCTAATCGCGGTGGCTAAAATGCTAATCAATAGCTTATCGCTGTTAATCTCGGCTTAAGTTTACCTTTGGCAGCTACTCGTTTGTACCATTTGCTGTGCATTTTGTTGCCTGCCCAGGTCCCAGCTTGGTTATTTTTTCTTTACGGTGCGCATCTTTAGCTCTGCATTGGCGATTCATTAATCAGCCAATTGCTGTCAGCTGTTTGTAAACGCTTGCTAGCCCAAATCGTACATGGGGTGTTAAGTCTATTACGTTAATTACGCTGACTTCGCCGCACCACTCAATTAATTTACAATGTCCATTGAACCAGACAACCAGCCTTAATACTCATACGCACCGTTGACCGCCACGTACAACAATTTCAAAATGGTTTAGCCAAATTTTAAAGGCTATCACCACAAATATGTAAGCAGCAAAACAAATTTTAAATGATGATGACAAATTCAACAGTTTTTACCTTAATGGTCAACTAAATTGTTGTCTCAATAATAATACCAGAAGTGTCAATTATTTGGAAGATGTACTGTGCCATAATTAATGGTAAATTAGATTAATTTTTTACTCCTCCTGTGTGAATAATTATATGTTTTTATTTGTCGGTCAGAATTGCCATTATTCTCCACACCTAATGAAATAATTAAAAGATTGTTGCATAAAACACAACCAGAAGAAGTAATTTTTATGGACTTTTCTTTAGGATTTTTTTTTTGTGTGTCTCAAGTGTGTTAGTAAGCAAGCAAACTGAGCTAGCAAAAAAATGTTTGCTTAACAATTAGGAATATAAATCCAACAGTTTGTCCCGCCATTCAACGATTTCTAAAATGTAAAAATATTCGTTTCCTTGCATCAACTCGAGAATTGTTATAAATTACTTTATGTATCCTTAAATTTATAAAGTTTTTCAAATGATTTCTATTCAATGCCAGGCAGATTCAAGCAGGAGTCCTGCACAGACATGCCTCGACA